AAAACAAATAATTCATGAAAAATCATTACCACTTAAAACAGAAGTTCACTCCAACGAATCACCTGCTGATGATATTATAAATATAAACGTCGATATAATATCAGAAAAAGGGATTGAGAATAATAATGTTAAAATTGGAGAAAGTATACCATTTAATGAAACAGATTATTCTGATGTCCAAGTTACGAGTAATAATTCTAAAGGTGAAGTAACTTCATGGGCAGAAGAAATAGAAAAAGAAATATTTGCACCGACTGTTTTGCAATCTTTAGAGAATGTAGAATCATCAATACTTTCTTCTACTCTAGAAGATATAGAAGTTTTCACAACTGATCTATTAGACACCGAAACTATTTCAACAACGAAAGCAGACTCGTGGGCTGCTATTGTGGCTCGAAAAACAAATGACACAGTAAATTTACCTCCATTCGTTGAACAGGATACAATTAAAAATGAAAAACATCTTACAAAGGAAGAATATCTCCCTCAAGTACAGATTTTCGTAGATGAGAGTCCTCAATCAGCACCTATAGAAAATCTTGTTCATGTCGATGATCAAGGTTTCGTCGAATTTATAAATCGAAAAGAGTTACGAACCAGAAGATCTAGATCACGATCGAGAACCAATAAATCGGATGATTTCGTTGCAGTAACGGTAAACACGAGCCAAAATAAAACTGATGCTATTTTGGATTCTATTGAACAAAAAATATCGACAGATGTGAAATCTAAGACGGAAACTAGTCAGGACAAAGAAACAAAAAATGAAGTTCAGAAACAGAAAGGAAAGAGTAAATCGAAGTTGAAAGGTAATGATAAGGAAACTATTGAAAAAGAAGTACAAAAAAAAGATGAAACGGTTGTTGTGAAAGAAAAATCTAAGGGAACAATAACTAAAGATAAAACTTCAGAAATAGTTGTTGATAGAAAGAAACAAGAACATGAAAAGGACAATAAATTTGAATTTCGAAAACAAAAAGTAAAAGGCAATGCTAAATCGAAAAATCACGATGTAGAAACTAAAGAAAGTAACAAAAAATTAGAAATCTCTTCTAAAAAAGAAGAGATTTCTAAAGAAATTAGTACTGCAAAAATAAAAGAGACAAATAATGAGCCAGTATTAGATACTCAAACAGAATTGAAAGAAACAAATAAAGAAGAAATAACAACTGAAAATTATAATAATAATTCCATAGAAAATTGTATCTCCAAAACAATTAAGGAACATGAAATTAATTTAGAAAAGACCATAATTTCAGATCAAGAAAGTATAGAGCCGATAGATAAAAGCAGAAAGCAAAAAACAGCTGACGAGCAAAGTAATAATTCTATGGAAATTGGTACCTCCGAAACAAATAAGGAAATTAATTCAGAGAAGACCATAATTTTAGATCAAGAAAACAAAGAGCCGGTGGAGAAAGAAAAATGTAAAAGCAAAAAACAAAAATCTAAGAAGAATAAATCAGGAAAGAACGAGTGGAAAGAATCAGTAGAACGAAATGAAAGTAAGAAATTAAAAGTAGATAAAGAATTTATACCAAATATTCAAATTACTGAAAAAGAAAAGACAACCACAAACGAAAACAATCAAATAACAGAGAAAATAGATACGATCAAGAATCAGAGTAGTGAAAAGATAAAAGATTCTCAAGATTCAAGGACACCGAAGAAAGAAAGAGATGAATCTATTGGTAAATTGAAAAATAGGTCGAAAAATAAAAAAGCGATCCAGGATAAATCAAAAGTGAATGTTAATAAAGATATCGAAAAGTCATGTAAAGAAAATGGAGTAACTAATCAGATAGATTCTAAAACTGTATTGATAGAAACTGAGACAGCAGATATAAATACGAAATTTATCGAGGAAGAAAAATTAGAAATACGTACTGATACAAATGGAGAAGAATTGCACAAAGAAAATGAAAATAATCAGGCTGATTCAAAATTGACACTTATAGAAGTTAATCAAATAGAAATATCTTGTGATAAAAAACAAATGAAGGAAATACCTGAACATAGTCAAACTGAATCAACTATTGAGTCAAAAATAAATGAGAAATTTATTTTAGAAGAAAAATTAAAAGTACGTGTTGATAAAAATGATGAAGATTTGCAACTGTTACAAGAAAATAAAGAATTTATACAGTCTGCTATAAATCCAGAAATAAAAGAATCAGTAATAGATCAAAAGATCCAACAAAAATCGAAAAAGGAAGATAAGAAAAACAAAAAGCAAAATGCTAAACATTTACCTCAAGATAATTTGAGTAATAAAGAAACAAAGGAAAAAGAGATTAAAAAACAAAATGAAATTACTGAAGAAAAGGAAATTAAATCGGCAACATTAGAACTTATTGTACATGAAATAAAAACGTCGGTTGCAGACATTAAACTTGAACCACAGGAAATCCTTTCAGGCAACGTTCATGACAACACATGTGAAAAAAGTGTTGAGAACAAAACTGAACAGGAAGAAATTAGCTTAACTCCTGAAACGATAGCATTAGATTCTGCACTTTCTTCTAATGTAGTAGAAATTAGTGCAGATAAATTAAACATATCGGATCATAAAAAAGCTTTTACAGATATCGTCTCTTCACAAGATAATATAATTTCAAAATCAAGTGAGAATACTAATGAGAATACAATCGATTCAAAAGAATTCATTGAGCAAATTGAGAATAAAGATAAAAATACATTACAAGAAATCGAGGAACATCTTTCTTCGGAAATAAAATCATGTCCTACGATAATCGAGAATCTCGAGCACTTACATGAAAATGAAGAAAGCATTGAATCTAATCCGTCCTTTGTAGCTACAGAGAATCGTCCAAAGGTACGATTCTATATTGCTGACGACGTCCTTATTCTTACCCATGATAAAGAAAAGGAACTGAAATCAGCAATGATTCAGGAGAGAACATTGAATACGGTACGATCGAAATTCCTTTCTCTTGACAGTGGTTTTTGGCCGACAAAACATCCTTATCATGAAGCCGAAAAAGATCTGTTTGAGAGTTTAGCTCATCATATTGAGAACGATTCGATTGAGAACAATAAAAAGGATTCCAGTGATCGTGATCCACCGGATCACAGTTATGACGACGATAATAATGGGGGTGGATCTAAAGGTGGTTCAGGGCACTGTTTCGATAATTCGCGAACTTTACTAGGTTCACCTCGTACGGAATGCCTCGTGACCGACCTGCCTGGTGGCATTTGTAGTTGGCGCGATTATAGTACTTACTTATCGAGCGAGAACGAGGAGAAACCGGATAACACATTGCAGCTTACACATAAAATAACTGAGAACTTGATAACCGAGCCAAGCTTGCCTTCGAAGTCATCATCCTCTTCGACTAATCTTCAATTAACTTCGAAAATCCAAATGAATTCTAACTATCCTACCTGGATCGATGTTTCAAATAATAACAATCCACTTCCTTCTAACCATTCCACTGTATCAACTAATATTCTTATAGAAAACGAAGAAACCATGTCCATTCCTTTGAACGAAGAACAATTCGTTCAATTTAATTTTGAATCTTCCTCGATATCAACCTCCATCCCAAATCATCCAGAACCATCACAAGATATAGGTAGAGCAACGCTGGAATCTCTGCAGCAATGGCCTCCGAATGAACAGGTGGAGAGAGAGACGAAGGCAATCGAAGACAAGACTATGAAGATACGAGGGATCAAGGTGCGATGTGACATCACAGTCAGTAATCGCTCTTGTTGTACCATAAATGGTCAACGTTACTGGCACATCTTTATATACGTACATATAGCGTATACATGTTTTGTTTTATTTAATCTTTTGTTGTTGCCCTTGTTTTTTTTTTTCTCTTTTCTTCTCTATTCCTCATTTTCATTAAATGATTCCAAATCAGAGCGATTTACTTATCTGAGTAACACATCATTTTACTGAAATTTTTTTATCTATTTGAAATCGATGCATCTATACTATTTATAAAGATAGTTATTATTATTTACGTTATTATTATTAAAACATTTCAGAAAAATTAAAAAACATTTTTCCAAAAAAGCTTATGTGATTCGACTTTCCTTCTGTACTAAATTCTGTATGTACTATATGCGTGCTACTTCTTATACAATATTCTAATGAGTTTATCGTCGTATATATTCCTTTTGTTGTAATTAAATCTGCTAATATTTTGCTTACAACGCATGTAGTAGTACACGACCCACTAAAGTTTTGCATTTAAACATTTAAATTATCGAAAGATAATTAGATAACAAAAAAAATATAAGTTGTAATGGAAGTATATTTCGACAGTAGAAAATATATAATAATAATTACAAATCTTGTATATCATACATAACATTTTTTATTACGTTATAAACTTGAATTTTCATTTGCATTTGATCATTTTAAATATCTTCATTCGATCGAATCATAATTTCTACCGAAGTGCTTGAAATTTGCCATTTATAGATTCCTATTAACTATTGTATAATATATCATATATAGATCGGAAACATTTCTTTTTTAACATTAACCAATTCCTACAATAACCATTATTATTTATAGTTATTTATTTAAAAATGTAATTTGAACTCTAAATCATTAACCAAACTTAACAAGTAAAATTGACTTCAATCCTTATATATTTATATTTTTAGCATATTTCTTCCTCTTTGCTTACTTCTTCTTTCTGCTTGTTCACACATTCATTATATTTATAATTCATGTATTTTATTAATAATTTTGTGATATAATTACGTCTATTTCTCCCCTTCAGTAAATATATATCTTCCATACCATTACATTACTTTAATATATATTTTATGTCAACAATCCTAGCAGTTTCATCATTACAGTTTGATATTTTCTACAGATTTTTCATAGGAATTTGCTCGAGCTAATCAATTAATATATGCCAAGAGTTGATTTGAAAAACTGTCGTGTGCACGGCATGGAATAAATTAATCAAAACAATCAATGATGGAATAACTAATATGCATATACTTTACAGGAAACCATAGAAGCACGTCTCACAGCATTAAAAACTGCCCTTTTGGATATAGAAGCTACGAATTTGTCTCGTGATTCTATTGAATCAATGTTATCTGCCACTGGGGTAAGATGGTATTAATTAGATGAATTAATTCAAAAAAATTAATTTAGTGTTAAATAATATTATAATAAAATAATATTATAACTAAATAATATTATAACTAAACAATAGAGATGCATAAAATATCATGCTTTGATTATATTATTTTTATTAGGCGATGATAACAAAACTTCAAGGTTATGATGAAGAAATTCTACAATTGCAACAACAATTGTGTGAAATTCCAATCAATACTACTTGTCAAATATTTACGAATACTTTGGAAAGTATTCAATCGCACATTAATACGTTGTTGACTGAAACAAAGCAAAGTTATGAGCTTTTAAAGCAAGCTTTAGAGATTCAACGTCAACGAACTAAAGAAATAAAGGACTATCAAAATTTTCTTGAAGAAACGGATGTTTGGCTAAAGGATATCGTAGTCGGAATAAATGAATCAATAACTATAGACCAGGTTCGTTAATTAAATAATCCCTATTGATATTAAAGCTATACAAGATATTGAATGTTAACAATACATTTTTTTATACATATACTTTAACAGAATTTGCAAGTGCAGTTGTTAGATCGTACTCAACGAGTATCCAAATTGGAATCACTACCAGAAATTAAAGAGTTGGCAAAAGTATTGAAAAATGAACTGATGGACTTGATTAACCGTCTTCAGCAAAAGCAGCAGGTATCAGACATCGTTCAGAATTCGTGCGTTATCGCACAATATGCTGCTTCTTCTATTATGGTTGCTTAAATTCAATAAAAAATACAAATAAAACATTTGCTTTGGGTATTTCGAACGTTCTATCATTTCGCTATGATTGTAGTGTAAAAAAATCACTGCATATGAATCTAAAACTGTCAATTACGAAGATAATCTTATGTCTTTCTATCAAAAAATACCACGATACATTCAATCATACAAAATTGTTGGTAAATGCTAATATAAAATATATTATATAAATATTCATTCAATATTTAATATTCAAATCTAACACTTTCATTTAGATGGAAATTTGTAATATACATTAAAATAAGAAGAATTTGAAAGAATATTTATATGGATATATTTATAATTGCATAATAGCGCACTTTTTTATACTATAAACATATTGAAGAGTCATCATCTATAAATCAGTTATAATATATGCTTCGTAGTGTTAAAAAGGAAATATCTCATATAGCTAGTACAATTGTTACAACAATCAAACTCGTCAGTGCACTTATAACACAGCTTTTCTCTAATTATATTCATTTCTTATTAAAAACTATAGATGAATAAATAAATATATGTGAAATATATTTTATTAATATATAAAAAAGAAATATATTTTATGAAATGCATAAAATTGTAATATTATGAAAAGTTGTGTGATATATTTTCTCAGAAGCTAGAATATTATATATAAATGTATAAAAAATAATAACAAAAAACATATATACATCTATAGTTTTTAACGAAAGTGGGACATCATCTCATTCATTATTTTTACGTATGCACATGAATGATTGGCTATAAAAATAAATGGGTAGACACAATTTACTTCATATGTATATTATCATCATTACAAATGCATGTGCGCTTTTCTTCGAGCACATTATCAATTTATCATTTTCACGCACCGTACCTTTTGATATCACTTGATGTTACATTTGTTATGTACATTCGTTTAGCTTAAGGTGATGGGATGTAACATAATCACTGCATGTATTTAAGGAATGTTAATGCATTATTGTAATTATTCATACAATTAAAGTATTTTCATCAAATTGTCTTCCCTTTGTTTATTCATTATTTCTACATTCATTTATTTTGTCAATTATATTTCTATGTGTTACAGCAATGGCCAATATTTATTCCATTACATGTTTAAAACACCATACATTTAAGATAAAACAACTTAAGTAAATAACTTTAGGAACATAGAATATTTATTATAACTAAGATAGTATTAATGTTATATAATGTATTAATGTTTCCTATTTCAAAAAATAATGTTTCATGTTAAATCTAATTAAAAATAATATTACGATTAACTTTCTATATCTGTACAAAATTCGTATATTTTTCGTTGTTTTAAAAATTAAAATTATCTGTCAAATTGTCTCTAAACTATTTATAAATCTCGCAAATAACGATATTATTAAAAGTTCAAAGAGTATCTAATATGGACAAGAAAAGATATGTGACATCTATAAAATATCCTTTTTAGACAAATAATAGTTCTAATTACGAACTATCATTAGCGAAACTTATCCTAATTACAGGAATTGCTGGATGAAGAAGCATTGGCCGATGACGAAACTGCAGATCGTGATGATGCCACAATCGATCAGGCACCATCGATACACTCTACTATTGAAAGCAATCCACCATCCTTAGCCGATGTGTCCTTACAAACAGGACAAAGTTTATTATTAGATATTGTAGAAGATAAACCATTACAACTTACAAAACAAACTTCGACAACTCAGATTCCCGTTATAACAGCTACTCAATCATTAATGACACAAACTATGGATACCGCGACTTTTCCAGATCAGCAAATAAAAGAAACAATCAAGGTAGTAAAACTCTCTGAAGGTGATCATGATGTTATCGAAATAGCAACAAAGAACGTAAGGACTGATATAAGTCAAAATTTACTTCGAAGTGAACAAAGTAACGTCGTACCTGATAATATAATAGTTGATATGAAATATCAAGATGGTCAAAAGGAGGAGAATACTAAAAGCGAATTGAACATTCATCATGCGACTCCTCAATCTTTCGAAACTGTACTCTTTGAACCAGATGACGTGACTACTGAAGTAGTTGTCGATGCAGATGGTACGAAGAGAATTATCGTTAGAAAGTTAAGGCAGACAATTGTTTCCAACAGACACACTCAACAACATGCATCGTCGATCACGACAGCTCTTGGTGAGGATGCGTCAATGATGCAAGCATTTTCAGAAGCAACTCTAAGAGATCAATATGTCACGGTTACTACAACGAAACCTGATGGTACCGTAGAAACATTAACGAAACAAATTCATGGTAGTAAAGTAACAACAGGTATACCAGATGCAGAATATTTCGAAGAGAAATATGAATCAACACCACAGTACACCCACAGAATAACTCAGGGAGCTATCAGAGATATTAGTCCTTTACCTATCGAAGAACAAATATTAGAACATGGTCAATATCAAACGAAGACATCCAGCGTTCACGCTGTAGTACAACAGGTGACTAGAAGAGTTATCAAGAAAACGCGAAGGATTATACGAAAAGTTACCATCATAGATGGTAAGGAAACTACAAGCGAGGAAATAATTGAAGAACCTGAAGAAATAGAAATAGATGAGCAAGATATACCGCATATTAATATCAACGTTATTAAAGATGAAAGTGAACAAACATTTGGATTAGAAAAAAGGGTAAGTGACGAAAAGAAACAAGAACCATCATTGTTCTCAAGCTTCTCAGGAAACATACAAAGTGATACTTCTTATGAACAGCGTTGTCCAGATAGTCCTATGCAAGGTCCGTTCTTTGGTCCATTCGCAAAAGATATGTCAAGCATACGTCGATCAGAGGTAAAGAAAAAGTCTATTAAAAGCACTACCATTGATGATACGAAAGTTGATGCCAGGAAAACACACGACGAATTAAAAGAAGTAGAAAAAGTTGAAGTTAAAGATTCGAGGGACAATACAAATGAACAAAAGCTTATCACAAAAGAGCAACCTATTACTCTAGTTCAAGAACAAGATATTCTTACTTGCACTGTCACTAATATTCCATCTGAATCTGTCTTTGATATTCATAGCACAGAAGATGTTGTTACAAAGGTAAATAATACAGGACAAACACTTCTAAAGGAACAAGTAGTGTCCTATCTAGAAGATTCTATTATTTTACAGACACCAGATGAGGATATTCCTGCTGCTATACAATCGTCATTATCATCGGAGGATTCAGCAAAGACCGACAACGCATCAGTTACAACTAAAGCTATTTGTAAGTCTGACGATGCACCAGTAAGCTACAAAACACCCGATACTTTGTTAGAAAGCGGCACGGTAGAAGTAGCAAAGCACGATGATGGTAGCAATATTCTAGATGCTGAGAAAAAAATTAGTAGATCGAGTATTTGTATGTTAGAGGATCACGGTACACAGAAAATCCAAGAAGAGGCATTACCCACAATGAAGAGTAAACTGGAAGATAATAATGTCGATTTACAAAAACAATTATCAGATATTCAATTTGATGTTAAAACTGAAGAGGTTACATCATCAGGAACAATTCAAATAACACAAACTACAGACAATAATATTATGCATAAAGATGTTCCAAAATTACAAGACAAAAAACAGCAAGTAGAAACATTGTTAACAAAAGAAAGAAAAGATATATATAAAGATAACATCTCATTAGCGGAACAGAAATCTTTTGCTGGAAAAGTCGAAATTTCTTTATCTATTCAAAAACACGATGAAAAACCGGAGTCCATGGTATACATAAAAACCCAATCAGAATGTTCAAATGAACGACCATATCACACTGTCTTAGAAGACGTTAAGATTAGTCTTCCAGCGGATCAAGAAGCTTCCGAAATAATTCATAACAAAATTGTGCAAACAAGTCCTGTAAATATCGTTCAAAAAGGCACTGTAACAACTCAGACATCAATACCTTTGAGTACTGAAACGAGCCAACAAGAATCGGTGAATGATAAATTAAATTTACAAAATAATCAAAAAGCGGAACTACAACAACCACAACAAGAGGAATTAATACAAGAGAAACTACAACAACTACAACAAGAGAAATTAATACAAGAGGAACTACAACAACTACAACAAGAGAAATTAATACAAGAGGAACTACAACAACTACAACAAGAGGAATTACAACAAATACAACAAGAGGAACTACAACAAAAGGAACTACAACAATTACAACAAGAGGAACTACAACAAGAGGAACTACAACAATTACAACAAGAGGAACTACAACAGCTACAACAAGATGCAGGAACTGTTAGTCCAATTTCCACAACTATTGCTGAGTCAGTAGAGATCAGTATGCTATTATCCGAATCTCCAGAACATATCAGCGAACAACCTCAAACAGATATAGTAGAAATTACCGATTCATTAGGACTAAGCTCACATACTAGAAACGATAGTTTTGGATATGATCATGGATATGAACCAGATGACAGAACAACAGTTGAAGAACCTTCTTCTACTCAAGATGATGATGATATAGGGAGAAAAAAGAAAAAGAAAAAGAGAAAGAAACAAAAAATTCGTGAAATAATAGAAAATTCTTCTGGAGTACCTAAAAGTTCTTCAGATGAAGCAGATTCAGCAAGTAAGGCAACAATGTCAGATAAAGAAGACAATATCGTAGAAATGGAAGAAATTGAAATTGTCGAAATAAAGCCTGTCATTGAAGAACCAGAGATCAATGTAAACAAAGTTCCTATCGACACGCAAACTGTTGTCATAGAAACCTGTAATGTATCAATTTCTCCGGATCAAAATAAGGAATTAGTTTCTATAGGATCAGTAACTGACACTGTAGAGCAAGAAGTAAGAACATTTAAAGTAAAAGAAACAGATAGTCATATGCAAATTTCGCCACAAGTTATGTTTGAAAGTGCTATGCAAACGGTTCAGAAAGAAATACCTGAAATAAAAGAATCCAGTATACAAACGATAACACCTACGAGAACACTAACGACGGAAAATGCGATTCAGACCAGTCCTATCGAAAATGTTCCATTATCACCTATTGTGCTCGAAACTAAAGATTCACATGTACAAACAGTCATTGAAATGGATTCAACAGAAATACAAACTTCACCGATAGAATGCGTTCCTTCGATAGATACAGAAACTCAAACATTACCGAAAGTATCAATTGACGTTGAACAACAAACCTCAGCTCCTACATCTATAAAACAAACATCTTATGTTTCAGAGACAGTTGAAGTAAACATACAAACGAGTAAACCACCTAGTCCTGAGAAACCAGAAATGTTAGATTTCAATATTCAAGCTGAACTATTGGAGAAAGCAATATTTGAAACTGCAGAAACACAAACAATATCGAATGAATCTGTACAACAAATGGGAACTCAAGAAACAGAGACGCAAACAAAATCTTTGAATTCCATAGTTTCTAGTGAACTTCATTCACTAGAAACGACGGAAACTCAGACAACTCCTGAAGAAAGTCTAAAAAAGATCGAAACAGAGGAAAGGGAAATACAAGTATCGTTCCAACTATTTCCATTTGATAGCATAGAGACACAAACGACACCAACACAAAGTCCTCGTAAAGTAGAGATTATGGAAAAAGAAGTACAAGTACAATTAATAAATATTATTCCTCCTAAAACAATGGAAACACAAACGACGCCTAAGGAAAGTCCACGAAAAATAGAAATCTTGGAAAAAGAAGTTCAGGCAAAATCATCGCCACCAATTACTAATATTATGATTCAAACAAATCCGGTGATTAGTCTACAACCACAAGAAAGTTACGATTTTGAAACACAAACTATTCAGAAATCAATGAAGTATGGTATGGAAGAAAAAATACAAACTAGCTCACCTATACTCGTAGAAACCATTAGTGGTTCTGTACAAGTGGAATCTAAAGAATTGATGCCTCTTTTTGATAAAACTTCACAAATATCTTCCGAAAGCTGTGAAAAAAGTTTACAAGTCTCACTTAAATTACAAGAAGAATGTGATGAGTCAACGTCAGTACATAATATCACTGAAGATCAACTTCTAAAAACAATAACATCGGTTGTACCATCCGATGATATAAAAACACAATTAAGTTCAACTCAGTCAACAGTCGTAGAAGCTACAGAAGCATTATTAAAATCAGAAATCAGCGATGTTTTGGTGCAGTCAGAAAAGAGTTCAACACCGGATACTTCATTTGAAGTACACATCAAAACAACGATAGAATTACCTAATAGCGAAATATCTAGCGAAGCTATAATGAATTCGGAATCATCGACAGATATCTCGCAAGATGTCTCACTCACTCCGTATACAAATGATAATAATAATGATAATAATGAAGCTAAATTAGAAAAAAGGCAAAGAAGAAAGAGAAAACATAAGACTATGGAAATTCAATTATTAACTAAAGAAACGAATAATTTAGACTCTATATTTGGACAACCAGCACAATCACAAAATTCATCTTTGAAATTATCTTATTCCGATGTAACTAAGAAAAATTCAAATAAGCAACCATTCGTAGTAAATGTTGATGAACCAATGACTGTTCAAAGTTTTGAAGAAAATGATAACTATGCATCTTCTGCTGCTTTAGATATTGACGATGGACTTAAGAAAGAAGTTCAAGAAATGAATTTACAAGACGAAACAATACCGATGTCTTTGGATACGAGTATTATGTCTATCTCACAATCATCGATTTTTGTTGATTTATCCAATCCGTCAAAATCAGATAAACCATTCGAAACTTCGTTAACAAGTGAAGGTCAACAATTCGAAACTCTGTTCGTATCTATTCCCAGTGAACCAATGGATACAACTATATCACCAGATGAATCACCATCATCAAATCAAATTGAAAAACCAATAAAAACACAAGTGAAAACTTACGCGGAAGCTATTTCACAATTATTAAAAACTTCGTCGACGCCTGGTATAGTCGAATACGAAAAAGAATATGATACATTGGGATGGGAAAATCGATTACTTGTTCCTCACTCAACAAATTCACATAAAACAACTAATCATGTTGAGTTTTCATTAAGAGAAGCAATGGAAGGAAGAATTCCTCAACACCAACCTACCCAAAAGATCGAAACTACACGAATAATTTCGGATAGAGTGAAGAATCTTCATAATGCAGCAGAGACGGATCATTTGGGCAATGTATTGCACATTGCTCGTCTAAGCGAAATTATGATAGATAAATCGGTAGAAGAACGTTCGTTAGATGTACGGAAGGAATTAACACAACTCAGAAACGCTGTAGAAGAAAACGATATAGTAATCGTCGAGGAAACTCTTCTCACGGTTATTGAAACTATATCTACATGGTTAGAAACGATCGAATATAGAATTTTCCTAAATAGAGAGTGTCCAAGTGAACTGTCTCACAACGATGCGAAAACTTTTATTGAGCTGAAAGAAGAAGTAGATCATGTAGCAGAGAACATCCGAGAACTCAATGACATTTGGAAACTCGTTGAAGGCAATTATCCTATCGAAGAACGTGTCTTATTGAGAGAATGCTTTGACGCGCTCGAACAACACATGAAAGCCGTCGAACACGTGACAAATACCAGCGAGAAATGTACTAGTAATCATCTTGCCAAATGGGATGAATTATTGAATGGTGTAAATAATATGTACAGGTGAGTTGTTACTTTTACTTTGGAAAATACTTTTACAAGTTTATTTAGACTAATTCAATTTTATTTCATTAAACAGGTTAGTAGAAGAACAACGTAAGCAATTGGATAATATAATCGAATGTGAAGCTTCGACAAGATGGAAACTTCAAGAACTTGATAAGATGGAGAACATGAATCGTTGTCACATATGGAAGACTAGGAAACTTCTTGCTACTTCGCACGAATTACTCCGAGATTATCCTGGAAAGATTATTCCAGAGGAGACTTACTTAGCTCACGAAATTACTAAAATCATCGAGAATAGTATAAGCATAGAAAGAGATCGACTTCTTCAATTGCTCGCTTTAGCCGAAGAATACGAACAAACATTACAGGAATTTTCACAAATTATTGAAATTGCTGAGAATTTGCTACAGAGTCCAATATCTGTGATGAATTTGGAACATCTTCAAGAAGAAATGCAAAAACATAGGAAATTCTTTGTTAATTTGAATCATTGCCGTGCAATTTTAGAATCATTGGAAGGCAATCTGGATCCAGAAACTAGAGCCAAACATTCTAATTTGCACGTAGAATTACATAGTCGTGCATCTTCGTTGCTTGATCAAGCTGCCTCTCGAGCACAACAAATGGCATTGGCAGCTACACGTTGGATTCTTTTAGAGCAAGGTGTAAAAGAGGAAAAAGGGTGGCTTCAGGTAGCTCATCAACGTGTTCCTGATCTCCAAACGGTCACATCTTCCGATTATGATCAATATATTTCTCTGTATCAGGTAAATAACAATTTTGTTTAAATTCATTGATTTGTTAAGTGCAATTAGTTTCTTCCATTGAACTTGCATATCTAAATTAGTTCATATTTAATCATGTTTCACTTCTACAGTCTTTATCTTCTGACGTTGCCACACATCACGCCCGTATCATTCAACTATTGGACGTTGCAAATCGTCTAGAAGAATTGGTGACTATTGAAAATTCTGAAGATCGTTATAACGGAGTCTTAGATGTGATCGTTAAACTTCAGGATAGTATAGAATCCTCTTTAAGACGATTGTTATCATTCCGAGAAAATTGGAGTACTCAACAAACATTAATCAACCGTATTGAGAATTGGATAATAACAGCCGAGAAAGAACTAGTTCCTTTGAGTGATACATCAAGTGGAAACATGCGTCGTTTTTGGGTAAGCTTTCACTCATTCTTAACAGATTTTAAAAAGAAAAATATAGACTCTATACAATATCATTTTTTAATATTCTTTATAGGAATTGAAAGCTCAATATGAAATACACAACAACATGCGCAACGAAGCAGATAAGTGCTTTGACCAAGCCTTGAAGATCATTCCACTTTCGGACGAGATGTTTCAAAGACAATTTCACGGTGAATTACAATATCGATGGAAAGACGTGACGGAGAAAATCAATGAGATTCAATCGGAGATTACGCGTAACATTTCCTCCGAAGATATCTCTTCAAAGGACAGGTTGAAAATATTGGAAAGAGAATTAAACGAATTGAGAATGTGTCTCGACGATTTACACGGAGTATTGAAGACGGAGGAAGAGCTTGATCTTTACATAGAAAGACTCACCGTTCTGTTCGACAGAGTTTCGTTGATTCAAGATAAACTAAGTCGCTTGGGTCTTTTATCAGCGACAGAAAGTGAAACCGTTGGAATTCTCTTATCATCAGCTCATCGTATAGAAAGTCAGATAAGTGAGGAACTGGATTCAGCTCAATTACTTCGAGAAAAACTTCAAGCATTAAAACGTGGCCTTGGACACGTTAGGAAAGCTCATCAGAGGCATTTCTTGACTTTGGATCAATGCGAAAAAAGCGAAAAGCAAGGAAGCAACGTTGTCTCAGCTGCTATAGATCGTTGCGAGTCGGTTTCGGACGAGCTAATAGTTCTTTGGCACGATCTTATGGGTCTTCGGCATTTGTTACATAAGTTGCCATCCGGTATGAGAGTCAGTGTGTCACCTGTAAGCATCGAACGCGATATCTCTGCTCTTCAGGATGCCCACACTGAATTAGAATGTAGATGTTCACGTTTACTATCCACACTACGAAATAGACTCGCATTGTGGAATCATTTTGAAAAGCACTTGGAAATGGTACAGCAATCCGTTCAAGAAGCTGATTACATGATGGAGCTCTTGACCGTTCAAGGTTCGGTGGATTACGATAGATTACTTAAGGCTACCGAGCGACTCGAGGTAAGTAATGGTTGGATTAAATTAGACGTGAAGTAATAGTATTGGAAATTGATTTAGTAAAAAAGATATTAACTTCTAATAATAATATCTGTTACGATTCGTACCATTATTAGTTCATATCGCATATCAAAAATCACTTCCTATAGTTATCAGTTTTCTACTACATATATAACTTCAAGTCCGCCAATCTTCTTGTCTCATGGAAATTCATATTCGTAATACGCATGCGCAATGCCGCGTTTGGATCTAAAAGTCGCGTTATCGCAAAGAGTCTATCAGTAGCGCGGGAACCGTCAACGCGCGCGTTACGTGTTAAGAACGGCCGATGAATTTCCTCAATGTTTTATTTACGAACGAGTTATTTCTGATCGCAGTGTGTTAGAGATATATCGTTCAAACAACGATGGCAAGATTAGCGTCCTATGCAAGAAAATGTAGACATCACCGGCTCCAGAAATTCTTAGATAGAGACGAAGCACAATAAATAGCTTCAAGGTAAGCGATGCTAAGAACGGCCGAGGCGAGAATGTTTCCTTCGTGAATAGCGTAAAACGCTCGCTATCATTTCCACTTTTCAACATTAAAAGCATTGAACTTAGAAAACTTTTGCAAAATATATGTCTTATAAGCATTCATTCGAAATTACAACAATAGAAGTTGTAACATAAAACTTGACTACGATGAAAAATATTTATTTGTCCAATCGATCTGTATATCTGGTGGATATAACTCGATTTTCGTATAGTTATCGTTACCAAAATACAATTTATGCGAACGTAAGAAAATTTAACATGACTTGAAGCTAATTTGAAAGAAATATATAAATCTAAATACATATAACGTCGGATCGAAACATTGAAAGCGACAATAGAGATATAAACGTATATTATACACCCATATTTTCTTATTATTGATAAGAACAAGTGTGCCTTTCAAACGACATAGACGAACGTCTCATTATCTTATACGCGACTTGTCGTTACTCCGATCTTTGCATGTAACAAGTATTTCGAGTTATGACTGACGACGAATATATGTATAAAACGACTTCTCATATTTTTATTCTTGGAACTGTTAAAAAATTCGTAAGTATCACGTATACAACTCGATAACCCACGGAGGTCAAGACAATATTTATAAGCCGATACCACCGGATACGCGTTAGCACTCGTCCAGAATAAATGTCGTCTTCTTTTCTCTTTCCGTTCGATCTCTGACGAAAGGATTGCGGAACGTGTGTTTTAAATATACAGATTAGGAGAAGGAAATATAAACATATATCGTTCGAAGTTAGCCTAACCTTCGAGTTTACAGACGATCTCTTGTATCTCAAAAGATCTTTTATTTATTTATTTTTCTTTTTTTTCTATTTCTTTGAAACTTAACTGTGATTTCATCGGGAAAAAGCACAGCTGCTCTTTAGAACTTGAGTCTTCTTATCGTCGCTCGCGTCTGTGTTAAAGAATCTCATTAATATCACTGTCTGAAGGCGTCGAGTTATTTCTATGAATGCACACATGCATAAACCAAGAATTTTGCAACGACTCATTACCGGAAAGACTTAAAACATGTTTGCGTGTAATTAACGATACCGTTCGAATGCATACGCGTCTGTTAATTCTTTCATCAAACTTTAGGCCACGTGCTTAATCGACTAAGAAAGTAGTCCTTTAGAAAAAAATTACTCGTAATTCTTTCATATACCGAACAGATATGATTCAGTAAAAATAATTATGGTCGATGGTGTAAAGTCTTGACTTCAATCGATGTATTTACACATATATATGTACACGCGTATGTATGTGTAATGCTATAGCATGTGTAGTATACGAAACACATATTTGTATCAACTCGATAATATATTGGGGTCAGATTAGTATATCTCTTTCGCGTAGGTCGTACTGTTTAAAGCATAATTGCAAAGTAACAGATGCTGATAAATACCTCCGAGCAAAAGTGTTCCCAACTTGAACTTCGGTATTGACGAGTATATTGATCAAAAATTGCAAAGTAAGTGTATAAGTGAATTATTTAAACAATTTCATGACTCCAATGTATATCTGATCGTTATTACCTTGCACTCGTTACAATTTCATATACATACATATATTGCCGTGTCGTTCCAAATGTCTTGAACGGCGGATAAAACTTGGCGCGAGACGCTTCCGCACAAGGCTTCGGAAAACTCTGAGCCAGGTTAATGAACTCACCATCTCACAACACAGAATTAGTTCAACCATGCCCTGACCGAATTCAATTCGCAAGCCTCGAAACGTGCTCGTCTCGTGCGGCAAAATTATTTTTAGCTTCCTTCATTTGAGGAAAATCTTTTTATGCGTGTTATTTAAATAATCTGCTGAACATTTCATCTTCGTCGATTTCTTTCCAGTAATAAAATCAGAGGAAATAAATAATTAACGAAACGACTCGTGTATAAAAGTTCACAATATTGAGTGTTGCGTTAAATAATCGTATCGTGACAATGTGAAAGCCAAAGATAAAAGAACGAGAATTCATTTCAGGGATTAAACGGTGATTTCGGTGCACGCGAGGTGCTTATTAGCGAGCTTCATGCCGCTGCCGAACCTCTGCGGGAGAGTTGCGCTGCAGAGGTCCGTGAGAGGGTCGAAGCAGCGGTAAATGAAGCTGTACGAGCTTGGGAGGACACGAAAGCCGAATTGAATGCCCTTTGTACAAAATATCAACACGCTTGCAACTTATGGCAACAATATAGAGATTCGAGCGCAGTAGTAAAAGCCTGGATGGACACTCAAATGGGTAGTGTAGCTAATTTACCTCCGGAGGAGGCTATCAAGCAAGTCAAGGTGAGTGTATAACATAAATAACAACGAAAATATGTATTAATTAATCTAAATATACAACTTTCTTTAATGGATTTATAAAGAAGAAAATTAACTATAAAATTAACTAAAGTAAATTTAAATATATTCATTTATATTCATTTTATATATTCACTGAATAAATTTCATAAATTTCACTAAAAAAAATAATCGATAAAATCAGTTACCGTGATAAAAATTAACGTAAAAGATAAAAAGTATATAATAATTAAGACAAAAGATAACAGTTGTATCGGTTATTCAACAAACGTAGAATTAACATAAGAACAATCATAAGATGAGCAATCCAAATGCTTATGTGCGTCTAAGGGTTCATATCTCTCGAGTTGAGAGCGGATGCGCCACCGATCGGCTGCATCTATCCCCACCCTCGCACACTGACGAGTTACGCACGAGCACAAGCATCCTATGAGGGGTGGTCGTAGAGATAGAGAGAAAAAGAGAGAAAATACAGGCCAAGAGAGCCCCCGCTGACTGGTCTCATCGATCCCTTTGGACGACGCGACGACGATGACGTCGACGGTAGTCTGGACCAGAACGTCGTGCTGATCTCTTCTCTTTATCTCTCACTTTCTTTCTTAGCTAACCACATCTGCTTCTTGTCTCGTCATACTTCGTGGTATAATTTCCTTATCTCGGTTTTCTTTCCGAATTCCGCTTACTTTCATCATGTACAAATTTAATTCTCGAAATGAAAAGAAAAAAAAAAGTTAAAAGAATCGATCAATTATATTCTCTCTCTCTCTCTTCTCTCTCTTTCTCTCTCCCTCTCTCTCTTTTATCACGTGCGTTTACAAATCGGTAGTACACGCAACCACGTGTATAAGACATAGTGAATCAATATACGTTTATCACGAGTGTGAGCACATCTTTCATTTTTTTTACTCTTTGACTATTTTAGACCTAACACTCGCGTTTTGTGACGTGTACCCGTCCTCTTGCTCTCTATATATAATTGTATTAGTGCGCGTAATGTGTGCTCACACTCGCTGACGTGCGTGAGTATTTCTATAGTGTCGACATCGTCACGATCATCGTTCAAAAGGTAGAAGAAGACATAAGCTTATGCTCGGTGATCCAAATTCAAAGACATGTGTACGCCGGAGGAGGCGAAGGTACGATCGAACGCGATATTAGCCAATTTTTTCGATCTTCCACTTCCAAAATATTTCTAAAATAATACTCTAGATTCGTCTCTCTCGATCATTTATTTTTATTTTTATTTCCATTTTACTCTAGATCGACCTAAAAGATAACAGCTCAGTATAACTTTGAATTATTTACTTTGACGAGGAACTTTAACCGATGATGTCATCGAAGCGAATATCATCATTTCAAGTTTATCGCGAAAATATTTCAAACTAAATAATAAATCGATTCAACAGGATTAGAAATCAAGGGAAATATTGTTGCATTTCATTTTTTCTTCAATATATAACGTACTACGTATCTAATCACAAAAAAAACAATACAGAAAATATATTCTCCTTACCTGCCATATGTCGTCCATCGTAAACATCGTATACATTTACGACAGCTGCTCATTTATGAATTACTTTTACGTTCGTATATCTTATCAGAGATTTATAATATACCATCGGACGTCTGCCTTTACGAAACACATTTTAAAATCGACCGTGAATTTACAACATGAAAAGAAAACATCTGAAAAGTATCTACTTCGAATTAAATAACATGTGTTATCTAATTGAGATAAGAAAAGAAACGAATGCTATTTTTGAAATATTTTGAAATATTTTTGATATATATACGAATGCTATTGGAAAAATACGTTATCTCAATGGAATTACACAATGCTAAAACCATGCCTATCATCAGCATACATATTGTTATGTCGTTAAAGTCTAATAACAGTTAATCATCCTTAATCTCTTATTTATTATCTTAACCATTCCTTCTTGAATTATTCTTGTTTTCACCAAATTTTTTATCATATTAACGTATAGTTTCAAAACAATCTGTAGAATTAGAAACGGAACGCGATGAGATCACTGTGTATTTAGACAAAAACGCCCGAAGACCGTACAGCATATGATTCCGATGCATATGGTCAAATGTCTCCAGTTTCGCTTATCGCTATGCCACTCTCCTTTGCAATAGTTTTTTGGCTTTGTTAGCGAATAACTCAGTTTGCAATAAACTTTTATGAGGAAACATTGAATTATAGAATAAAATAAACGCTCAATCTCCCTACATGATCTTTTATAATTTTATTTTTCGTTTCCTTAAAACTATTAAAAACCTCCACGTTGCGATGCGTCTAATTTATAAATTCTAACAATCAATTAATTTATGTATACCCACCGAGCACTATGTACATTAAATTAGAATTAAATTACATTCCCGATTCTAAATTTCAAATATTTTCTTAATTTTTATTTAAATTTATAACGCGATAAATAAACTATTAAGTAACAGTACAAATATTTGTTAAATATTTATTAAATATTTGCATTTCAACAAAAAATAGTAACTCCATCGTGAAACTAGATAATCGATTCATAATTAACATCAAATGTATTGAAACATCTTATTCTTGAATGAAATCATGTCTAATGTACATACACTAAAGAAACTCGAGCTTCTTCTAATACTGACAGAGAATATAGACACATTAGAATTAGAACTAAACATTCCCTCTACTAAATACATCAATAACTAACAAGATTTCGTCGTGTTGTCAGAAAAATATTTTGGATGAGTTTGTACTTTGTCTTTTTCTTTGTTATGATTCTATCTGTCTAGCTGAATAAGGTATACACGTAAGGTACAACGCACAAAAAAATTATAAACAAATACAGAAATGTAACAATTCATACGACACATCGAGTTTACATCGGCGAGACATAAACCTCTTACATCATCGTAAATACTTATATATTTCAATCTGATACAGGTTTGCGAAGAAACCCTAGCAGAACACAAGGAAAGGCTGGCGGAATTACGCGGTTTGGTAGCCCAGATCGCATCAGACGTCGGTTTAGACGCTGGCGGTCCGTTACACTGCGAGGTCGAAGCACTTGGTCGTCGACTCGAGGATGTCCGTGAAACTTTGTCAACCCTCGCCGACACTGCCGACGTACGTGTCCTTAACCAAGAACTTACGCATGTAGATCTTTGTCAGACGAAGAATTTCCTCGATACAGTACAACAGGTACGATTTTTTCTTAACATATCATATTTGTAATATTATAATTTACAAATCAAAAAAGCATCGTTTTATATAAAATGAGCTCTTGAAATATTTGGTTATTTATAATAATAAAATAGAACGTGGTTATTAATTTTATCCACGATATACATATCTTTACCATTTTTTATTCGTACAAAATAGGAGCAGACATTCCTGTAACGCTTTTTTCTGCTCGCAAAGCGAACACTATTGGTGCTAGGTACAACCTCGATCATCCCCTCACATGAGCATTTACATTTTAATCGTCGTAGTTTCAAAACAATTTGTTATGTCAAGGCCGAAAGGCTTAACCTGCTATTGCAATTACATCAGTCACGAAATCTGCAACAGCTGAATGGCCGCAACGGTGCACTTAGCGAAACTTTCTTAGCGGAGACTAGGATGGAAGCACGTTTTTGATAGAATACCGGAGCTTAAAAGCTGGTCTTAAAAACGCTTGTAAAATTCTTTTCTCGAGTATGACGCATTCTAAAGGACAATCAAATTATTCATTTTCAATATATCTGTTTTACATTCTTGTTGATAACGAAAAGTCATAAAAAATGATGGCAAAGTCGATGTTCGAAGCAATAAGAATAATCAATAAGTCGGTTATTAAATACGTTTGCTTGTTGGGATTATTTAGAATGGTTAATTATGAGAAATTAATTTTATTTCAGAGTTTGACGACAGTCGGCCAAGAAGAATCCAATGAGCACTTAAAGCTACTCCGTAATCATCTGCTTGCGCTAACACGAACGGAGCCACAGCTCCAATCTATCAAAGATAGAACTGTAACAATGTCAACTCAAGAACCGTCAGTCGTCGAAATCCTTCAGCAATGGCAACGAGTATTCAAAGAAACCTTCCAACATTATCACCGTCTTTCTATCCGTTTGTTCAAATCACAGGACGTAATCGCGGTTCTGAAGTTGTGGCAAGAACATTTAACTTATGTGCAAGAGTTCTTATCTAACCGCGTACCCGGTGATTACAATGGTTTGTCGGAGCATAGAAATCTTTGCGAGGTTTATAGAAACCTTCTTACCGACCAACAAAATCACCTATTAACTGTTCATGGAAAAGAAGGTAAAGATCTCAACGTTACCGAACAGTTCAATGCTCTAACAAATCTTCACAATGAAACATTAGCAAAAATCATGGAAAGACACACCGCTGTACACGATCGACTCTTAGCATGGGACAATTATAGACGTGATCAAAATGATCTCTTCGCCTGGTTAAAAGACATTGAGAGAGAACGCAGTCGACTGCAATTACGCTTCATACACGTTCATAGATTGGATAAGATTCTCCAAAGAATTCAAGCTCTGCTCGAAAAAGTTCCATCGGGTGAAGTCCAAATAGAGTCGCTTCAAAAACAACAAATTCCTTTGCTTGTTGATTGCGACGAGACTTTGGCCGTTTCAGTGCGCATGGAACATGCAGCAAACGTTGAACGTATCGCCAATTTACGTGCCGGTTTAGAGACTTGGAGAGATTTCGTTGAGAGAGTACGAAAACTTCATGAACAGCATATGGCACAGACTGACAGGATCACGAACACACTACAAGATATCGGTCAGATACTTAATTCTGTCCTTCACTCGATACCTGGTAAATTATCACAAACCAAAGAAAATTTGCTTTTCCTTCAAGAATTAAAAACTCGTCTAGTCGATACTAGTAACGAATTGGAATCTTTAAATGTACTTACTAAAAAGCTACGAGAATGTCTTAGTCCTTCTGACATGAAATCATTGAATCAACACGTTGCACTTTTGTGGCAACAACAAGGAGACCTTGATCATCAGTTAGCTTTAGTCGAATACAAGCTTGGCGAACGTTGTGGCCTACACAATCGTTGGATCGACAGACAAAGCAGATTGTTGACTTGGATTGAAGATGCGGAAATCAGAGTGAAAAATTGGGATATGATCCCTCTTGGTGAACCCGAAAAAGTACTAAAACGATTCGAGTATGAATTACAGGCAGAAATAGCTTTAAAACAGCGAGAATTCGAGTGGGTGCAAAAAACTGGTCAAGAATTAATCGATGCGACCGATGATACTGAGAAAGCTAAAGTGCAAAATGGATTGGACGAAGTGAACGAAAAATGGTGTAGATTACTTACGAGTGGAAAAGTTCGAGCAAATAAATTACACGATTTAATACAATCAATAAGCACTCTCGAAAAAAAATTAATAGAGCAAAGAAGTTGGATGACCGGTATCGAAGCGCAACTTTCTGAAAATTTCATCATCGAAACTGTGAGCCAAAGCTGTATTGATAAGAAATTAGAGGACCATGAATATATTCAAAAAGCAATTCAAACGGAAGGTGCCAAAATCGGAGAAGTATTGAATCTTTGTGAAATATTACTACACGATTCCGACATATGGAAAACATCTCTGAATACCGACACGATAAAGAACGGTATGGAAGGTCTTCAACGACGATGGAAAACCACGTGTGTTAGATCGGCTGAACGTAAGCAAGAAATCATTTTGGCCTGGAAGTTACTTCGTGAGATGAATAATATTAGAACAGAACACGAAGGCTGGATCACTCAAACAGAAAGTGCACTTACGAATTTTGAGAAAGAAATGAATGAAATTACTAAAAAGGATACGAAGGAAATGCTTGAAAGATTGAAAGTGATAATGAAAGATATTGAAGCACATGAACCAGCTTTGAAGATTCTTGAACAAAATTTTGGACGACTTGCAAAAGTCAGATTGGAACCTGAAAATTTAAGATCGCTTACAGCTGAAAGTCGTAAAACTATAGACCGATGGCTTCAATTTAGTAGTAGGACAAATTCCATAATCGCAGCGATAGAACGCGAACAAATGGATTATCACGAATTTAGTTTAGCTCATGGTGCTGCGTTAGTTAGTCTGACACAAATTGATATTCGATTGACTCAACTGCAACATTTGCTTACTCCTGAACAACGAACATCACCACGTGGTAGGATGCAACGGTTATCTGAAATCGAAAAAGAATTGAACGCCCAAAACGTTCTACTGCAAAAAGCTGATAAATTAGCACTCGAAATAATGCAGGAGAGTCATCCGGATGATGTGACTAGTATACAAGAACTCGTGGACGAATATCAGTCTTTATGGAAAGAAATTAAAATGCGAGTTACTACTTTAAGAACCGAATTAGAATCTCAGGAAAAATCTGAAGTAGACGAAGCTATTCAGGTTGAAACTTTGAAATTTGAACAAGACACGGCTGTTCAAGTGAACACTTTGCCTAGATTAATTAGAATGACATCTTGCGACGCGTATATGTTGGAATTGAAAACAGCTCTCACAGAGTGCCATCATTCTTTGGACGCATTAGAAACAACTATCGCACCAGAACCTGTATCTGGACCGAGCCTGAATACAACAACTAAAACTATTGTAAGTCTTTGTTTTCCAATCTACACATTTTAAATTTTTGTTAAAACTTTTTCATTTTTTATAATTACATATGTATAACTTTCATTTTTAATCAATAGGCAAAATTGATTGGATGTTGTCAATCATCTATAGAATTAGTGCGTCATCTCCATACTTTACTCATGGAAGATACAAAATTCAATGTAGAAACAACAATAAGCGAGGAAGTGCAAACTGTGATATCTCGATACGAAGCTCTTCTTTTACTCGCTAGAACACGTGAACAACAAATAAGGGAACTCAGGTACATTTTTACAATGAATTAAACTTATCTCTTATAATTATACAAAATTAAATCCTTTCTAAAACTGCTTATATTAACGTCATATATCATGAATAACTCCACATATCTCAAGATTCATTAACATGACATTTTGCTATTAATAGGTCTCCCATTACAGACGCTTATTCATTCCCATGTAACCAGTGAGTGTAATTTCTTACTACGATATTAATGTGTTAAAAAGACGTCAAAGATTATAATCTAAAGAAAAATATTCGATTGTTTATTATATTTTTAGCGATAGTGATAGGCTAACATGTCCTCTTTGCTCTCGACGTAACTGGACTCAGTTGGATAATGATCTCTGGCGTCTAGAAAAATGGTTAGAATTTGCTGAAGGTACTCAAAGTGAACAAAACTCGCCACCAAGTAATATCGAGGACCTGGAATATATTATTCAAGAACATAGAGAATTTCTTCAGCACCTTGACAGTCACAAAAGCATTGTCGTTAGTTTGAACATTGTAGGTGTTCATTTGGCTGAACATACAGAAGACACTAGCCGCGCAACAGAATTACGTAATCGATTAACTGATGCAAATACAAGATGGGACAAAGTATGTCTGTCAGCTGAAAAATGGCAAGAACAATTGCGGCGTGCACTTATTTCGAATCACCAATTCCATCGTATCATCGAAGAGTTGTTCAGTTGGCTCGAAAAGACAGAAATTGTAATTAGAACAAGTGAACCAATCGATCTCTCCGAAGCTACCGATATTCTGGAAACAAAATATAACAAATTCAGGTATGTTAATTTCTTATAAAATATTAAATCGTGAATTTTAAATATAAACATTCTATTGTATAATATTGATTTTATACATTGATATTAGTACGTATTCATTATTATAAAAATTGTATAAAATATAAATTATAATTTTAAATCATCACTTGGATATACAAATGAAACGTATATCAACACACAAATATAAATACATTGATGATTAAACTTGAATTCTAATACATATTTTGCAAACAAATGCATATTTGACGTAATGCAAATTAATATATATGGAACAATGAATATGTTCCTTAGAAAATCCATTTTGTGATTGATCTGTTTTTACATAAAATACAAATAAATATAAGGTATTATCATACATTGAGATGATACTATACAATAGGCAATCTTCTTCTGCAGATATATATATTATATATTATATATAATATATATTATATATTATATATTTATTATATATAATATATATTATATATTATATATTATATATTATATATGTTTTATGTACATATAAAAAAATCTCATAATTGTAGCCACATAAAAAATATTACAATTTTGTTTTGACCCTTTTTTTATTAGTTTTTTTTTTTTTTATATTTTTTAAGGGAATTACGAAGTGACCTTGAGCGCTGTGAACCGCGTGTTTTATCTCTCCAAGAATCTGCCAATCAACTACTAAATGAACAGGGAGGAGTGAGAGCTCGACTACAAGAACTTCGATTAAAACTACAATCGTTACGTCGACTGACAGGCATCTACTCATTGAAATTAGGAGCAGCTTTAGGATTGGATCCACGTGATATTGGACTCGTTGCTACGTCCTCCTCATTAGCCGCTCTTTCTCGCGATGTAAGTACAATTCTTAATTGCATATCTACAAATAAAATACGTACATTTATTTCAATTATGAATACATATATACATACATACATACATACATACATACACACATGCACGCGCTTACACACATAGAGAGAGATAGAGAGAGAGAGAGAGAAAGAGAGAGAGAGAGAGAAAGAGAGAGAGAGAGAGAGAGAGAGAGAGAGAGAAAGGAAGAGGGAGGGAGGGGGGAGAGAGAAACAGCAGCAGCAGCAGACACACACATGCGCGCGCGATAATGTAGTCATTTATTGATAGTAGCATTTAAAATTGCAGATATAAATACTTTTAGGTCACTTGCTGTAACGTGATCTTTGCTTTTGTTTTTTAAATGTTTAGTCATTTAACGTATGTAGATTATTGCACGATATAAAAAAGAATCACGTAAAACATTATATTAAAGCGCACGAGAGCAATGAAATTCGATGAAAGGGAAACAAACATTGCAGCACAAAAAAGTGCACCTGTTCTTTCTCATTGGCTTATACCATTATCACGTGCGCCATATGTAATAATAGTAGTAATCACTTGCACAGTATCTTATTGTTTGTGTTTTTTCTTTTGTTCAATTGTAGCTACTCGATGAAGCTGCCTCTGGGTCCTCTCAGCCACACACAACAGCTGCCACAGAGTATGTTCTCTTCCTTTTCCCTGTTCAATCCAAGTTTATTTAATTTTGGATTGCCATTTTTCCATATAAAATACTTCTGTTCATCAACTTGTGTTTTAGATAAAAAATAATCATTGTTTTTACTGTAATTGTTACAGTGGTGATGAAAGACATCAAATAGTACCAAGACAAGGATATAGTTTTCTAGGAAGAGTTTTGCGTGTTTCTCTTCCAATACAAGCATTAATGCTGTTGCTACTTGGTGTAACTTCATTGATACCATCAACAGAAGAAGATTACAATTGCATGCTCTCTAACAATCTTGCTCGAAGTTTCACTCTAATGGTCTATCATCCAAATGGACCGCCGCCTTTGTAACAAAAACAGAATGTCTTCACTTTATTTATGTCTATTGGTAAAAACTACTGCATTGATAAAAAGCATTGAATATAAGATTTAACGACTGTAACACGCGAAATGCTTAAATATAAATGAATATACAACATATATATATATATATATATATATATATATATATATATATATATATATATATATATGAAAGTGTATACATAACGTTTTCAAATACAAAAAAATTTGTATATATTATTATAGCACACGATTTTCGTATGTCGTCAATGACTTAGTTTATTCTTTGGCTATATAACTATAATCCTTTAGAATGTTACAAACAATAAATGAAATTGCAACATTTGTAACATAATAGTATTTTGAATAAAATATTTATAAAGGATTAAAAGTGAAGTCAGTAATTTATAATATTGACGATGGTAGTATTTATGATAAAAACTAAACTAAAAAAATAATATATACTGATAATAAAGATCATCACATTATTATTGCAAGAATGATTTTTGAATACACAATTACTTTGCAATAATGCTTCCTTTAAAATGCAATATTCTTTTATTTAATAGAAATATAAGAAATGAACTATCTATATGAAATACTTGTATTATTTCTACATAAATTACACAAATGCAGACTATTTACATTATGCATATTTGTTGTAGGATAAATTAAGGAAGATTTGCCGAATTTTTATTTTTATACTTTATGTTTATACCAAATTCGATACACGAAATGTCTAAATCTGATTTTGATACAATATTAGAATTTTTGATAAATAATGGTGCTAATATGAAAGACAGTATGTTAAATATATATAGAAACTACATATTCAAATTTGTTACTTCATTGCAATTGGTCATAACTGTATTGAAACTTTGTAAATATTATTTAATAATACCTTAAGATGATATTATATCATAAAAATAAAGAATATATAATTTGTGACTATGCGTGATGATAAATACGCACAGAATAATGAGAAATTAATTAAATATATAAATACTGATTTATCCTCATTCCGTTTAATATTTGTTCATGCTGTCATCCCACGTCATATTTCATTGTTTATTATAAGTTTTACCTATTTGTTCTACATTTATCTAATCTACTCATTTGTATAATGTTTAACTGTTTCTTCTTTAAATATAATATTTTTTCTTGTTGCAATTGATTATCTAATTAAATACATATTCAACTTTCTTACTTTATAAAAACAGTCCTAATTAGAAAAACACAAATTGGTATTTATGAAAAATTGCATTTATTCCTTATCATAGAGAAATTTATACTGATTATCACATCGCATTAATTATCACATCAATATAAAAAAAAACTGTACAAATGCATATTTATTGCATAAAAATATAAAAGTATCTGATGTGATATCAGCTAGAAGTTATGCTGCAAAATATATTGTTTAATATTTCACTTACTTTTATGTACTCTGATTTTTTAATGCCATTAATTGTTCTGTATACTCAAGAAATAGCCTTTGCCAACGAAGATGCCCACCAACAATATTCAATATATCTCCCAAAAGTTTGTGCTTTTTTATACCCTATATGAAAAACAATTATATTACTATTTATTCATCGATTAATTTTACACTTACAAAAAATATAACATACTAAAATCATAGGATCCCATGATGAACTTTTAGATGCTGATGTATGACTTGGACCCAAAAGATCATCTAAGATTAATCTTAAACGCTTCTCCAACCCATCTAAAAGAGAAAATAATTTATTTATATATTCTGCATAATATATGCTGAAACAATCATTGCAATAATTAATCTATGAAATATACCTTGAGTTAATAAAAATGATACTAATGCCATTATCCAATGAACATATTCTTGTGCACTGCCAAGTGCTTTAGATGCTGATAACTGTTGTTCCATATAAGACACTATACTAGGAGCAGTATGTGCCAATCGAGGATTAGGCAAAACATTTCCAGCAGTTCTTAGTAAACCTTCCTGTAGGGAAAACAAAGGTCCTCGAGGAGTTCTACTACCAGATGAACTTAATGCATTAAATGAAGACCACCGCCATACAGGATCATGACTATCTCCAATTAACAACCATGTTCCTAAAATAGTTAATTATATTTGTTATAGAAAACATTAATTTATCATAAGTTAGAGAATGATAATATCAAAATACCCATTTCTTTGTGATAAATATATGCCCTGGCATTAGTAAATGCTAAATGTGGCATTCCATTATAAAGTGTACATGACAATATTGATGTTCCTGGTGCTGCTAAATGAGCAGCTGAGGTTGATACTATCATTCTGCATGTATTTCCTATTTCCCATACTCGTACATCACCGCAGGTTGATATAACCATAACCTGATAAAAACAAATAAAATTTTCTATATAAAAATATAATTTTCTATATGAACATTTTCATTAACATATAGTGCAAATACATTACCGCATTACCAACAGCATGAATTTTTGCTAATGGTGCAGGTGGTGCTAACGGAGGTGCAAATCGAGATCCTTTGACTGGATGAAAAGTATGTAGACTACCATCTTCTAAACCAACAGCTATAACAGCTGAAGAGGCAGCAAGTGCCACGGCATTATAACCCAAATAAAGATCCCACGTTGGTTCTGAATCTGTACCTCTAAATACTTGTAAATGAGCTAAACCCTGACTATTACTGATTGTAACTGCATGATGTCCAGCTTGTTGAGATAATGAATTGGACGGTTTCAATGCAGGAAGGACGATTTGGCCTGCACCTTTTTCAGACAAAATTTTTAATTTTTTATTTGGTGACAAATGGTGTAATTTTGGACTGCTTTGTTCTCGTCGTTTTAAAGTAAGTGATGAAGCTGGTGTATTTATGATAGCAGAATTCACAGAAGAGGTAACATTAGGTGTAACGACATCGTTACGTTTTTCTATTACAATCGAACTTTTTGTTTGCGATTTGCTTGTAAATGTTGGTACTGTAGTTCCACCATTTATTGCTGTATCCCTAAAATTTGTTAATTTCACCTTATGTTGAATATATTTCATAGATTAAACACATATATATCCAAAATTAACTTACATTATATCAGGTGGTGGTGGTATGAACATAGGAGTAATTCTTCTTTTACCATCAGATGTTCTAGTTTCAATTTGTTTGTTAATGGGACCTTTAGCTGGTGTATTTGAAGTATTTAAAGGCACTGGAACTGAATTTATTGTAGATGGAATTTGCTGTTGGCTAGGAGGTGCTGGTGGTTTCAAATTCAAAAGTTCTGGAGCTTCCATGACCATACAACCTCCTTGAACTAATGGTTTCCCATATAAACGTTCATGAAGACTACTCTGTAATCATATATAAACAATATGAAGTAGCAGTGATATGACAAAAATAATAACAAATAACATACTTGTTCAGCAGGATCTAAAGGCTGTCCAAGTTCTTGTTGAGTAAATTCAATGAATACAACAGAACCATCCCAAGAACAAGCTGCAAGTCTGAGACCACAAGGAGACCAACTTGCGTCCAAAACAGAATGGGTAAATAATTCACGTATCACAACTAAAGGCCTTTTAAGAGACGTTAGCCATACCGATAAAGAACGATCACGAGAACCTATAGCAACACAACAATATTGTTGCGGTTTAGAAGAACCTGACTGTTTCTTTTGTAAAATATTTCCATTAAATCTCTGTAAAATACGTAAAAAAATTGTTTTCCCATTGCAGATATATATTATGGATTAAAATGTCACTTAATTGATAAAGAGTTTATAGAATAATGTAATTAAATTACATACAACACAAGTAACTGCTTTCCTATGACCAACAAAATCCTTATCTTGCGTCCATCCATCTCTTTCAATTATTTGTGCTGTAGGTCCACCACCGTTCATCGCATGTGCCGATACCAAGTATTGTCCATCTGGACTCCAGGATAATCTCAAAACATGAGTTGTTCCACCACACTCATCAAATGGCTCAGAAATTAAAGCCTCTTCTGTCCAGTCTGTAGTACGCCATACTCTCAATGTTTTGTCATCAGATTGTGATGCTAAGTATTTTCCAACTGGATCCCAAGTAATGCCTTTCACGAAGCCTGTATGACCTTTTAGAACAGCTACAATAGCAGGAAATTTGGATGCATCCCATACAATTACACTATTATCTACAGAAGCTGAAGCCAGCCATGGACTATGTGGAGCCCATGCAAGATCTAAAACATCGGCTTCATGGGACCGTAATGTAGCTATACATCGCCAAGTTTCTACACTTGCTTTTCCTCCAAATATAGTACTTCCACCAGAACCACCGGATAGTCTCCATATCATAATAAGTTTGTCTACACCACCAGATGCTAATAAACCATTATTACTCCATCTGACACAATTTACACATGCTAAAAAGAAGAAAAGACTAATCATTGCAGTCAAAATTTAATTTAAATAATTTTTAATGCTTATAAATTTATACCAAGATGATTATCTAGTTGACATAATATTTTTGGTACATTTTGATCCAATTCAGCAGCTTCATTCACTACAGGTTCCATATTCCATATAACAACTCTTCCAGAATCACCACCTAAAAATAGTAATATTATTTATAATATAATATTGTATAATAAATAAAATAATAAATTAAGCAATTATCAGAGCATACCTTGACCTCCAGTAGCAAATCTTTTCCCATCAGGGTGTATGTCAACGGAAAATATTGAATATCCTAAAAGATATACAGAAACGTTTGTAAATTTAATTCATTTAACATTACATTAGGATAAACAATTAAATATAACAAACCATCGTGTGTGACCCAGTTAGGTTTAACTAATTTCATCTTCTTGTATTAAATAAACTATTATAAGAATGCCGATTATATTACAATATGTAAATCTGAATCATTTTAATGTTGGTAAAAGACATGTTTCCCTCATGAATTCAAAAGTTTGATGAAACATAACCTGGAATTAATAAGATTCACTGTAAACGCAAACGCTAAAACAACACAACCATAAAAAAAAATGTAAATGATAGATGAAATTTCGTTAAAACTGCCTGATGTTACTTAAGCTAGAATGTGGAGGATAAAAATTATTAATAATTCTTCCTGAACTACTTTACCAGTAATGCTGCCATCTTTACCGATACATGATAAAACAATTTGTTTTTTTTTATTTCAATTTATGATTTTAAACTTTTGCGATTCTTAATTATTTAAAAATAAGTAAAATAATCTGTATATATTTATTATGAATATATTATTCAGAAATATTTATTCTATATATATACTAAATATTCATTATATGAGAATATATATAGTCAACTTCATCTTCACTATATATAGATCCCAAAAGCTTTGACTAATAATTCAAGAACATATCGAGGGAGTCTCATGGAACAACTTTTTAATAGCAATTAAAAATAAAATTAATTTCTTTTTCCCTTTTTTTTTTTTTTTTTTAATGATAAAAATGTGTTAGATTATTTCAGAGTAATTTCATTGTATTTAAATCTAATAAAGGCTAAGTAGATTATAAAAACTTGTATGATAAATAAACCAAACGGCCAACTTCAAGACACTGTAGCATCGGTAAGTTGGTCGCCATGATCATTGATCCCTATTAAAAATTTATTCTACGAGACTTCTCCGATACGTTTCCGAAGTTAGGTAAAATCTTTTGGGACAATCTGTATATTATAATATATACAGGTTGTCCGGTTGTATGTGGAAAATACACAGTTGTGGATTCTACACATTAAAATAAGAAAAAAGTTGATATAAACATATGCCCGATGTAATCTTGTTTTCGAGACAATTTGTTTCGTTAAAAACGGTAGTTTACAAGACTTCAATTAATAGAGAACACATTTGCCACAAGAATTTCCTCATGAAGGAATATCATACATCACATTACTCCTATTGCCACTACATTACGTCACGTGATATAAGTTATGCCTTATGATACGTCGTTACGTCTATAACCTAACTTAACTCTAATAACTACTATTACTTTTTCCATTACCATCTGATTTTCTCCCTTTTTTCCCTTAATATGGCAACAGAGATGTTGAAACACTTCGCCAACATATCGATTAAGACTGCTTTGAAATTCAGACATCTGGGCTATTCCAGCGCATTCGACAATCAATGATAAGACATATTCACGCCTAATTGAAGCTAGAAATGCTCACTTCAAGCAATTTCCCTGAAGGTACATAAACAGCTATGGCAGAACAAACTATAACTCGAAAATAAGTTCACATCAGTATATTTTTATATGAACTGTTTTATTATTTTAATACATAGAATCCATCCTTGCTGTACTTCTTGTATATAGCCGGGCACTCTGTATATGTATCCGTTAATTATATGTGTAATTGAAGATACATAAATTGTCTTCTTAAATAAATTTTTAAAAAATAGATGTGTACTTATTTTAGAATTTAAAAAATCGCAATACGTTTTAGTTTATTTATCATGATTGTAATAAATTCAGCGATTCTAAAAAGATAAAAATTTTATTAAAAGAAAATTTATATAAACCAAGAATAGAAAAAAAAGAAATTTTTATTTATGAAAACATAAATCTAATTTTGAAACGATTCCAAATATTTTCTACTGTAAATGTATTGTTAGATTTGTTTAAATAATATAGAATCATTATATTTTGTTATTTATATAATTCTCTATGATATTGTATAAATTTGTACTCTTATTAGAATTATATTTTTGATCCGCATAATCTGCAGTTGTTGTTTTGTCACAAACCATATCTTCGTCTGAAGGTATATCATTAATTATTAATTGTAAAAATTTATTTAATGGACATATGATCTCACAACCTGGAAGTTGAACTACTTCAAGTTCTGGCGGAATTCCCAAATAATGCAATATCTATATATAAAATAAATTAAACTTGTAAATTATAAAAGACGTATGATATATAATTCACTGTTTTATATACATTTTAAAGCACCAAAAAAAAAAGATATGATATACAGTACATAAAAAATTGAATTAAAATAATAATATACTTTAATTAACATACTTTGACATAATATATGCCTTCCTTGTACAAAAGTTCCATAATAATACTACTAGAATATGCAGGAACATGTGGTGTATATGCATTCAAAGTATATAATAAACTAGCAATATTTGTTTCATGACCACTATATAGAAACAATTTCCTCTCTGTTTTCAAGGTACCATTCACATATTCCATCATGTTCTCTACAAATTTTTTAAGTATGGCTCCTATAACAAAATAATTTAATAAGATTCATGTTATATGTGTGTAAATACATGATATTAAGTTATTATTAAATTTTATACCTCCATAAATTTTTCTTAATAATTTATTATAATTGCTTGTTTTATAAGCAAAAAGAGTGGCATTATAAAGTCTACCATATGGAAATACCGATTTTGTCCATGCAGGTAAAGGAAGATTCATAGAATATACTGCCATTAGACTATGATACAGATTGGCCATATTTAAAGTAGTAGTAATATTTTTTCCAGTTGATTTTGTGAGTTCTATGGCTAAGTCTTCAAATTCAGCAAATTCTTTTTTATATTCGGATAATTCTAAAACTCTGTCATATTCTTCCAAATATCTGCAATCGAGGAATTGTATATTTTTATATTTGTAATAACGAATGTAAATATAAAAATGAAATAATTGATTTCAATCGATTTTGATAGACAAGAAAAAGTAATAATTACCGAGGACACTCATCACTAAGAAAAAGATTATCATTGACTTTTGAAACGTACTCCAAAGGAATCGGTTGCCATTCCAATTGAGGATTCCATATTTGAATACCTCTAGGTGGAAAGAGTCCTGCGAGAACGAGTTGTAAGGATGCTTTCGTTCTATTGTAATTCGAACTACGAGCTTTGACTATACTTGGTATGTATATCTTACCAAGATAGTTATCATATCTTTTTCTAAGAAATTCTCCTAATTTAAATTCTCGTACTATACCATTCTAAAAGTTATATAAATTTTTTTGAGAGAACAATGAAATTAATTAAAGTATGATCGTTATAAAGAAATAATTAATAAGAAACAACTAATGTACATTTGTTAACTCTCCTCTGCCCATCGGATAGAAGTCATAATTTAAATAGGGATCATTTGGATATCTTTCCAGTTTATTGTCATCAGGCGTTCGATCTCCGTGCCTAAATACCTATTAAATATAAATTATATAAGTTGAGTCAGTTATAAATAAATAATTATATATATATCCATGAGCGCACGTGCACGTATGTGTGTATGATTGAAATTAGTAAATTTAAAAAATAAAAATATAAAAAATATTCTTCTTACCACGTTCAATAATTTTAACTCCAAATTTTGTTCTTCCTGTGCATACGCAAGTGTCAGAATTACACAAATAAGTAAAACGATCAAGTATCTACAAAAATATTGACTTGAGATCATTTTGTTAAATCTGAAACAAAGTATGAATATTTGATAATCATAACTTAAAAATTTTTCTGCATTATTAGTACCATGTTAAACATAAAAAAGAAACAATTATTTTCATTATTTCTATTGGAAAACAAAGTAAAAGTTGCAGTAATACGAAATATGAAATAATTTAATTTTTTAATGAAAGTAATTTATGCAAAGAAACATTCATGATAAAAATATAATACTTATTTTTCCCTTTAAATTTTTCACTTTTACGAAGAACTCAGACCTACCTTTTATATCTGCATACTTACTTGTTTTACGTCTTTAATTTATTTCCAGCAAATTGTTAATTTATGTATATTCGATATGTTTATGCAAAACTTCAATATAATGGCATAAGGGATAATGCAGACGAGAATACATTCACGTACATCGTACACGTAGATTACGATTGATTAATTACGTTCTTTAAACACATTAACGAGCTCAATAAATTGTAATAAATTATGAGGCATTCATGATTAAGGCTTGTTACACGTTTATATTAACATCTGATAGAAATAAATTGATATCAAGCGATCGAATTTAATCTTATATGAAAAAAATAGATGGAAACGACTAAATGAAATCGTTAATATTGAAATAATATACCTTATTTATTTAACATAAAAATAAAGATACGCGATGCCGATTATACGAGAACTGTTTCTTGAAGAAGAAAGAATTCTATTATAACAATGTTTTTTTCGAAATAATAAATAATGTTTATCTACAAATGTAAAATCTAACAATATACTGTATTTTATCTTATCAGTACTTACTAATGATCAATTTTTTTATAGCTGTTATTTTAAAAAGCAAAAAAAACAACTTAATATCTGCTTAACATTTCCAAGTAAACGATTATTTATTTTATCTAGGATTAAAACTACTCACAAGTATCAGCTTTCTCCTTTGAGTTTTGACATTAAGCAGAGATGAAATCATCGAAATTTTTTCTAATATAACTTTTTTCAAAGAAGCTCGTACCGTTTTACAACTGCCAGCAGTTGTTAGAATTAATAAAGTACAAACTTTAAAATGTATAACGTCTATATAATCCCTTCGAATAAAAACGATATCCTGTGCTTTACGATAAAGTACTGCCATTTATTATCTGCAAATAGATACTATTACCGACATAATGCGAAGATCAAAACATTTGAAACGACGATTAACGGTAGTTATAATGTCAAAAATTTACGATCTTGTCGAAAATATGATATATTTCCTTCTAATTCTCAGTCTTTTATAATAAATTAATAAATCTACTCGTTCCAAAATGAATGATAATCAAAATTACATCGATGAATTTTACCTATTATAAATTACGTTCTCGTCTCACGTTCTGTTTTCTTGTATAATATATCAAAATGTATTCATTTCTTTTTTTCACAACATTAATGAATTTTCAATCTATTGAAATACAAAAATTAATAATACGCGTTAAAATATACAACTCATTGATTAAAAACGATTCGTTCAAGTGGTTAGTTCAAAATCATCCGGGACTTCTCCTGCGGGTATTAATGAGAACTCTCGTAGATTTATTTAAGACTTATCGCGAGCGACATAGAATTAATCAAGTTACCGAACGATTATCATTGCAAATTGTAGGACAATGCTATGTCGAACATGTGCGGGTATACTAAATTATTTCAATTTCAAAATTACGATAGTACGATCGCGATTACCTAATAATTCTACGTTTATTTATAATCGGTATGAAAATAAAATACTTGAAAAATAAATTTTTAAGGAAAAAATATTATTCGTTATAAATAAACACTGTGAATTACTCATTGCAATTTCTTTTTTCCATTTTATAAAAAGAAAAAATACAGAAGTTTTCTATAGAAACCTCACAAATAAGAGATAACACTGTTTATCACTGACATTGCATTATTCTAGTCTTTTCGAATTTACTAACATGTAAGTAATTCCATGTTATACGTACCAATGATAACGACATAAAGAAAGCATACCGACAAAAATTCAGTTATCTACCTCATTAAAATTTCATGACTTAAATCGCACTTGATTAAATAATGAAATATCATTTTTATTACAGGATCTATTACGAGATTATTTTTAACAGATAACTCGATATTTGCGTCAATTCACAATTTTTCCTCTCATTAAATATCATTTTATCATTTTCTTAGAAGAAAAATAATGCACACTATTATATGCATCTTTTTTTCCGTGAGTGCTCGATGGTAATTTAAAACTCGATAGTTAGAACTAAACTATCATATAATAGAAAGATAGTTAAACTGTTATGCGAGATAAGAAAATCGAATGAATTATTTAAGTACAAAGCGTTGCGTCACATAAACATAAATAAGTTAAATTATAGAAAACGAAGGAGCAATTTAAAATGAAAAGATTAAGAATTACATATATAAAAGTTATATTATAGCTAATAAATGGTGACTTTAATGCTAGAATAGAAAAGGGTCGATGGAAGCTTTAAAAGACTAAATAAAAGAATAGATAAAAATATTCGAAATGGAACAAACGATAACAAAAATAAAAATTAAAGAAATTATTAGAATTAGTTGTATCAACTTACCTTTCAATAAAATATTTCTTTTCTAATTCTTTTATCAATTTTCATCAATAATTGTCATTGGCATTTCAATGATTCGATTTCGATTTGATGCAAGTTGTAACATGATGCAAATAAACCTTAATTTAAAATAAATATTATTTTATTCATTTTATATAAATAAACACACTTATCATAAAAAAATATTTCACATATATATTAAATCCTTGTTTACTTGTCGATACAATGTAGATACATAAATTCTTAACAAAATTTTCAACTTGATAACACGATACTCTTAGCTGAAACATAATAGTCTCTAATTTATTTTAACGAGGTGGTTTTATTAGTCAAAAGATTATCAGTCTTCCCCTTCTTTATAATGAGAAAGAGATCTCATTCGATGATAATTGTAGTTACACGAAGTAAAAGAAACTACTGTGTCAAGAAGAGACGCTCTCACGTCATTTAATTCTTATCGTGTTTGGAAGCAATCTATATACTCCACTTTAAATGAACCATTTTGTCGGAAATGCTTACGGATAAAATTCAAAACGTAGAAATTGTGTATTGTGAAAATAAAATTACGCTTCTTAATGCAATTCATATTTCTATTTATTTATATATCAAACGTGAATAAAGAAGATTTAACATGGATATGAAGCCCTTATTTATATTCTTTATTTCGTTAACGTTTGCTCTTGGAATTGAGGAATTAAAACTTTTACAAATCGTAAGACAATTTTTGTTTAATTTTTACATTATACATACATATATATATATATATATATTATGCTTCAGATCTTTATGCACAAACAATATGTACCATATGAAGATATTATGAGAAATAACATGACACTACTGTCTAATAATTTTCCATACCATTATATTAATTCAATGACGAAGGATATACCCAAGGTGAGATTTTCGTCATCGGAAACTAGTTATATAAAAATACTGCATTCTACTTTATAAATAATGCTAAATATAAAGATTACACTAATTAAATGTTAATAGGTTGGTAAAATGAATATGTACAACCTCGGGGCATATTTACGTCGAAGGTACGACAAATTCTTAGGTGACGTCTATACAAGCAAAATCATGAAAATGCGTACTACAGAATTTCCGTTGTCACAAATATCAGCAGAACTTGTTAATGCTGCACTTTGGCCACCATCGGAATTACAAAAATGGAACAATGATTTGAATTGGCAACCAGTACCCTTTGGTTTGTAAAAGATAATTATGTAGATATAAACAAAATCTTTTTATTCGCTCTCTTTCTCTCTCTCTCTCTCTTTATAAATATATATATATATATATACACAATCTAAAAATATAATAATATCTGTAGAATATACAAGGATAGAGGAAGATACATTGTTCTTAGGCACATACTGTCCACGTTTTAAAATAGAAGAACTAAAAGCAGAAAAGGACATACGAAAAATAATATTGCATCATACACCTTTATTCTATTACGTTTCCAATCATACAGGCACAAAAATAACTAAACCATCTGACATTGAATATTTATACAATATTTTAAAAACAAAAGTAAGGTCTATAATATACCTATTTAAAATATAACAATAATAAATAATAAACAAATTAATTATAGGCTGCCTATAATTTATCGATACCACATTGGGCAAATGAAACATTTCCGGATGGAGAAATGTATAACGTAATGTTATTGCAATATGATTTACTATCAAAAACAACTATTCAAAAACAACTCAATGGCGGGACATTTTTAAAAGAAATTATCATAAACGCATTAAAATATATTCAAGGAAATATAACGGAAGATAGAAAGATTATGATGTATAGCGGTGATGATAGAAATGTTGTGGGAATTTTGAAAGCAATGAATCTATGGTCACCACATATACCATCTGAAGCAACTTCGCTTATTTTCGAACTGTATTTTAACAATGTTACATCTAAGTATGGAATAAAGGTGAGAATATTTTGTTTGTTTAACATATTATTGGTATATTTTATATAAAAAATTCAATAATCAATTTGAGAACAAAAATAATTTCAAAATCACAGAATTATGTTAATGGACAAAGATAGTAAAATATAATACTTTTAAAAGCGTAATCTCAATTTTTACTTACAACATAAATTATTCTGAAACTATTTTATTGTTAAAAAACATATCTTTGTTTCAGATAAATTATTATACGGGTATTCATAAAGAAAATATTTTTCTGACACTTCCACAGTGTTCTATAATTTGTCCTTTAGACATATTTTCAAAAATTGTTTTTAATACTATACCAGTCAATGAAGAATTGTTATGCCAATGGACAAATGATTCTTTACATACAGATATAACTTCTGAAAATAATGCCAATAATCTCAACTTCCATAAATGGATAAATATTATATTACTGTTAATTTTAGTAAGTATGATGTATAAATAATTTTATAAAACATACATGTATCTAAATATAATATAAATCATATTTTAAATAAGTCAAATATATATTATAACTCCCATTTTTCCTATTTTTGAACAATATAACAAAGTGAAATTCTTTCAATAATTTATTCACTATATATTTCTTATTATTAAATTCACATCTGTACAAAAATAATAAATATATTATGTAACCAATATGAGATATAATTGCCGTGATTTTTTTGCTAATAATGGAATATCATTTATGTAAGTCATTGTAAAAGCTTCTAAACTATTTGCCCATTTTTTTATGTTTTTCTGTTCTTTTGTCTTCTCATCACAGACTTGATCTATGTTCCATTGCTTAAGCCAAAGACTTGTTACTGATGGTATAATATTGTGTTCAGTATTGTTTTTGTTACTACGAATGATAATTGTATATTTTTGCAAACAAATACTTAAAGCATATAAAATAAGATGTACTATATTAATTGCATTATGAATACCATATGATCTTTTCTTAAATATATTCTTTAAAGTAATTTGAACATCATCTAATTTTTTGATAAGAAAATCAATGATTTCATTACAAATATAGGGAGAATTACAAAATTCTAAAATAATAGATATATGATATATTTGTAATGTTGCCTGAAAGAATAAATTACACATTTACTGATTATTTACAAAAAAGAAATCCATGTGATAAGAATATAAATTATGTTTAATTTACCTTATTAAAATTTGTAACTTGATATATTTGCTCTAATATATCTTGTATTGCTTGTAAAACTACGCGACCACATATATCAGATTTCATTTCTAATCTAAAAATATTTGAGAAATTTAATATTGCATCTAGAGCTTCCTTTTCTAATGTATCAACCCAATATTTTCGTTTCAAATATTCTTTAACTATGTTCTCATTTTTGAAAACCCTTAAAATTATTTGTATTGATTTTATGACAATATCATTTGTTTCCAATCTTCTAAGAGTAAAATTTATCCATCTAGTCGAAATATTTCCTTTTGTATACTTTGACTTTTTTCTCGATATATCTTCTATTTCTAATTTCCGTTTTTTCTGTAAATATTTATTACGTATTTCTTCATTAATACTATTAGAAATAACAACGGAATCTTGATCAATATTTAAAGTATCATATGCACTATCGTGTTTTTCAAAAGTATTACTTTCATTATAATTAAAAAAATCATTTTCTAAACTAATTAAATCTGGTGTTATGAGATGTTCTTGATACGTTTTATTCAAATTCTCTGAATTTATTGTTAATTCTTCATCTGACTCTGGAATGATCAAATTTTCAGGTACACATCCATCTATTGTGTATAAATTATTCCACCTTTGAGGAGTCAAAGGATCTGAAAGGTCTTCTATATTATTTATATTTGTACAATTTTCTTTTTCTTTGTACAATTCTTTTAAATCATATCCATTGGAATCATGCCATGATTTAGAAGACTTTAATGAGTCCATATTATTAAATTCTTTATTAGAATGAATAGGACTAGTACAGATCATTTTTTTCTTATAATTTCCTTGCAACTTAGAAAGGGATAAATCTATAATATTTTTGTTCTTTTTATTTCAAATAATTTTGCTTTTTAAAATTGAAACAAACAACCATAAAAAGAAAATAAAATAGTATAAACAACTAAATGAATACCATTTATATGTGACAAAGATTGTATAACATTATGCTTAGGAATTTTCGTAGATACATTGAATATCATGTTATATTCTTCAACAGGAATTTCATGCATTCTTATTGCAACTGATTTCAACCAAACTATAGCTTGAAGAAAACTTAAATCTGCTTTGCATTTTATTAGTGGACTAAGAGTTATATCATCCACTGATTTCATCAAATTCTTTGGTATTTCAAAAATATGTCTACAATAAGAACAAATTGAGTGAAATAAATCGTTTTTTTCTGCATACAATTGTTTTTCCAGTCTTAATATATTTAATTCTATTAATAAGTCTTCTAATACAGGTGAACATATTTCTTCATTTGTATGCGTGACACTAAAATAAGTACGATCTAAAAAATATTTATTATTAGAAAAGAATGTAGATTTTTTCTTTCTTTTTATTTGTATATGACATATTACATGTTTACATCATATAAATTTTTAAAGTTATTACATGTAACAATATACATAATAATATGATATTTATATAATTACCAGAATCATAAGAGTTTTGATTTGTATCATAACTTTGTACCTGTTCTAAAGCTTCTAAAATTTTATTTTTGGACTTAACATGTTCATCGTCTAATTCATTTCTCTATAATCATAAAATCGTTAAAGTTGTTTATTTAGTTTTTTATATATTTTTAAAAATCAACAAATATACCTTATCTGAGATTTTTCTTGTAAAAATCTTTGCTTCGCGTTGCATTCTTTTTCATATGGTATATTATTTTTGCGTATATCAATTAAAACAAATGCATAATATAGGTTTATGCAACAATAAATAAATTATATAATAAATTGACATTTTGTTTATATCTATTTAATTATGTTATTTATACATTACGATAAATCACAAAATCTTTATTCGGAAAACTTCCCTCCATATTTCATAATTGATACCATTAAATATAAAAATAAAATTGAAATATGTTTTATTCAAGTTGACTATCCTGTCTAGAGCCAAGATTATAACCTTTTCAATCCCAATTCTATTTGACCAATACCCGGTGCTTGCATCGATAGTATTTAAGAAGGGCAGCGTGAAAGCATTTTGATTTAGATTTTATAGAATAAAACAGTTTATAACATAAAAAAATGAATTCAATATCTGCTAATTCGTTAACAGGAGCGGAAAAAAGTGAACTCATGGAACAAGTTAAACAACAAATTGCTGTTGCTAATGCACAAGAATTATTAACGGTACAATTATACAATATTTTTCTTTTCACATTTACAAATTATATTTAAATTAAAAGTATGTTTAATAATATTTTTACAGAAAATGATTGAAAAATGTTTTAAAAAATGTATTATCAAACCAGGTACATCATTAGATAGTACAGAACAGGTAACAGCATTCATCATTTTATTATAATTTCTAAAGATTATTTTATATATATGTAATTTTTAACGAATACGATTAATTAATATTTTTTGTGAATGATAAAATCTAAAATTTATTTTATTCTATCAATCAATAGCTATTTTCAGTCATAATTCTCAATGTGTTTATATATAATTTGATATAATTAATATTATACTTCATATCTCATATTAAAATTAATATTTAATGATTAATATTCTTAAAGAATGTTTTTGATATTATCTTTCTAATTTAAAAATGTATTATTTGTGAAATTTCAGAAATGTGTGGCGATGTGTATGGACAGATATATGGATGCATTTCATCTTGTATTTAAAGCATATAGTAATCGTTTACAACGAGAACGCAATAGAATGTAAATATATGATATAATATAAATAAATTGTTTTTTGTTGTGTACATTATAACTCATTGAATGGTCGATGGGGTAAATCTATATATTTGTATAAAGTTGCTAAATACAGATAATATGTTATACTTCTTTACAAAGGTAGAATTTTTGTAACAAATAGTTAAATAATTCATTTTTCCATAAATTTATAAAACCTATGAAACTTTTATACCTCAAATTATAAAAATAAATAAGACTAATATAGTAGAAATTAATTTTTTTTTAATTAATTTGATTAAGTCTATGTAATCAAAAATTTTTTATCTATGATTAAACTACATTAATTTCCAAAAATTTATAAACTTATTATTGTACAAGTGAAAATATATATAATTATATGGATGAATAATTAAAAAATATTCAATTCCTTTTATATAATATATATACATGCCAAACAAAATGTATTTTAATCAAAATAAGTAGAAAAATTTTAAATACAAATATTGGAAGGGTATTATAAAAAATATCTAACAATTGCAAAAGAGAAAAATTTTTATAAAATAAATAACATATACATGAGTATCGTTACATCATAGTTGAAAATCATAAATAACTAACATAGGTGTTTTGTAAAATCCACAATTCCACAGTATCTATTTGCATTGTTTATAATTAACCATACACACTAAAAGGCACGATATAGCTACCAAATTTCAACGTGGTTACAAGATGATCATCTGCAGTTACATAAGATATAGTATGAATGATATACAGACACTCACACACATATAAAGTATAATATATATATATAATACTTTATTTGATGAATTTTAAGATTGTGGGTTGTGAATAATTATTTCAAGTAGACATGGAATAATTTGTTTAAACAAAATATTAAACATGTGGGTATGTAAATCTGATACATTAATATACATACACAAAGTGGTCTAAAACTATAAAAGCATAATAATAGATGTCTTTAAACGAACCTTAGATGATAATGATGATGATGATAGTCATAATAATAATAATAAAAAAAAAAAAAAAAAAATAATAATAATAATAATAATAATAATAATAATAATAATAATATATAGTAGTAGTAGTAGTAGTAGTAGTAGTAGTAGTAGTAGTAGTAGTAGTAGTAATAGTAATAGTAAAAATAATTTATGAACAAAAATCTTATAAAGGAAAATATATAAAAGATATCCAATCTTTTATAAATTATATATGTTATATAACTTATATTGTACTAGTACAATTATAGATCGACTATAATTTGATTCTGCAATAAGAATGTAAGTATATATGCATTATTTTACAGCATCAATAAACTTTTTATCATCCCTTCTATAATTTAAGAATTTCAATAAGATCATTATTAGTTTTATTTGTTTTATGTATTAAAAAATATATTGAATAATTGACAGATTTCAATATGGAACTATTATTTTATAAAATATAGCTTAATACAGATAAATATAAGTTTAGGAAAGAAAGTATAAGCTATTCGATATTAAAACAGAAAATATGCAGTTGCAAACCTCGTTAATATTGAGTTGTTGTACTATTAATCATTATATACTACCTTCAAAATAAAATCACTATAACAGATACTTATATTGTGTATTAAATCCTTCTGAGAATTGTTTTCAACATCTATTTTAAATAAAATCTGATGCTGTAATAATTTAATGATAATTATAGATTATTTAAATCGCATAGTCTTTCATAAAATATAATGAAAATGCTATTGTATAGATATATTCTCTAAACCTAATGAACGAACAAAAAATTATCTTAATAACAATAATGGAATGTATTTATTTCTTATATTTTATAAAATGTGGGAATGTTCAAACCAGTCCTGAATTTTTTCATAAAACTGTATACCATACTGATAACAAGATGTAACCACGCTGATTGGCCAGGAACACACCTGATTTAATGATCATACTGGGATAAATGTCGATTCAGACTAAGAGATTTGTTACACAGTATCATATGATTTTATATAATAATGTTACTAATAACATTTCTAATGAAAATCAAGAAAACAAAAATAATATATATCAATGTACAAAAAACTAGTGTACATGAAGTTTGTAAAAATTTTTGTATACATTTTTAATAATTTAATTACTATAATCAAATTTATACATGGTACATATTATACAAGCACACAATCTCTTCGTCTGAATGAATTATGCCATTTAGCATATGTGATATTATCAGATTTTAGCTGTTAATGAAAATTCTTTTGTAAAGATAGCAAGTTATGTGTTTTTACAAAAGGATTTTGATTTGTCAAGCATCCTGTCAATCCATTTTGAATTGTACTCAGTTATTGCATCATACATAGAATGAACTTTTCCATATTAAATATTTTTCATTGTATTGGATTGCCCAAAAATTAAGATCCTACCCTACAACTTTTGTTAATTACTAATCTCTTGCAAACAGTGTTGCTAGAAGATAGATAAGCACCTAAATTTTCTTGGACAGCTTCAACCTTTATAAATTATTTTAGTTTCAAATATTTAGCACCATTATTATCAAAAAAATAATTTGACGGATTTTTTAGGCAATCCATTATTAGACGGATGGTTTACTGATATCATAGATATCGCAGCATCTATGTTTAGTTAAATGAGGTAATGAATCATATTCAGTCATCAAATTAGACTCAAGAATTTTTCTGTCAAGCACAAAAGGGTAAAATACTAAGATATTCCTTTAAAAAATTAATCTAGTTACTAATTAACTATAACACAATTAATAGTTTCCTGGTCCTTGAAATATTATAACACTTATGTAAGTTGTTTATAAGGATAATAATACTAGGCACATACGTATAACATAGAAGGAAAATTGCCTCATACTATGTACCTATTGAGTCTTCTACTATTGCAATATTAAAATCTATGTTCATTTTAACAATTCATGGCAAATTACATATTTATATTTGAAGTAAAAAGATCATTTCATATATGTCACATAAGACATAGATACTTTTTATGATAATGTTAACATTAATGGCTAATTATGTTTCCCAAAATGATGTGATCAGTTTAGAAATGAAGATTCAGCTCTTCCAAAATACTGTCAGTCTTAAAACGATGCAAAAAGTACTTTGTAATTATCAGTCATTTTACTAAATTCCCCATCCTCTCAAATTTATACTTATTAACAAGATTGAAAGATTCTATACATTTAGCAGTTGTTAAAGAAATGTAAACAATTTTTTATGCTGTTAGTAGCCGATTGAGAAGCTGAATTTTATGACAATATAGACATAGATTAAATATTTCTTAATAGTTTCAATATATAGATTTCTATTACTTCGTTTCATTTTTACTGTATTCACTTCAAAAAGTATATGGATCGGTCATAAACTTAAATATTTCCTTTTTTTATAATAAAAATTACATTTCCCTCTTAAATCTATAAAATGTAGAAAAATACATCATTTAATCTATATAAAATAGAGAAATGCAATGAATAGAAAAATGCTCATGAAGGCATTTTCCTTCCATGATTTTTGCAGCGCGATTTATAAGTATTTAGCCATAGCTGGCAGTGCCTTATTAAAAACTGCAAAATAAATCCAGTAAGTTTCTCAATTTACAATAATCAGCATAGTCTTACACATGATGCCTTAGTATAGGATATCAGTCCCCAAAAGCAGTATCTCCTGTACTCTAGCTTGCTATGCAACAGAATAACATTCTTATCGTTATAAAAGCAACTACAATGTGAGAAACAATTAACAAAATTATAATTGAACAAAGTGCTTAAGATTCTGTTAAGAATCTTACGATAATATCAGTAAAGATTATATCTCATTTCTATAATTTGTAGTAATACCCGTTGTGAAATTTGAAACCTTTTCATCCTTTTCATTTATATTCACACCCTGAAGCTGAAATGGAATTATTCTAAGTAAGAATATTTCCTTGTAAGAAGTTTATCTTACAAATAATCAGTTTATATAAAAATAACTCTTGTAGATGTATTAATAACATACTGATATATACACTCCTTTTTTATGAAAAATATAATAATATACAACAATAGCATACATATCACTTATCATAAAAAAGGAGTATTAAATTATTATATAATGCTCTATAGGAATATTAGAATTATATATAATGCTCTTGATAAATGTTTTTTTTCCTCTAAAAAAGATCATGTCATTTACCATTAATTTTTATCTTGAGAATGAATACTAACCATCTATTAATGTACTTAAAAATATTTTGATAAATCTGTATTTAGTTTACTTACGCACGAAGTACTACTCAGTATTTCATCAGTTTCTTCTATTTCTTCACTAATGTCTTCACTATGAGTACTCTGAATTGTATCTTCTTTTTTGACATGTACTTGCACAGAACTGTCCAATTCTTGTAATTCTTTAGATGGACTCTGTTCATTAAAACTACCTGATGCAGATGACACAAAATCTTCTTCATAATTGTCAATATTATCTACTGCTAAAGTCAAACATTAAAAATAATCATTTTATGAATATAATAAATATATATGCAATATATATGCATTTATATATCTTTTGTATCAATGAGAAATAATGTATTATCTTTTTTATTTCTCCTTACCAAATCCAACATCCATTAATTCTTTTATATCATTTATATTAGTCTTTTTTCCGTTTAATGGTGGTAGATCAAATATAGAACCAGACTTATCTAAAGGTGATGAAGATTCAGCTTTATGTACATTACCAACATTGTCTCTTTTTTCATCAACAATAATTTCTTCAAAGTAAATAGCTTTTCCAAAGTTACATTCTATATTAATCTCTTTTTTATTTTGTACATTATTCATAATATTTAGTTCTTTATTATTTATACTATTTTGTTTTGTAACATCCACGTTTTGATTTTTTTGCATTTCAGATACTATAGATTCATCAAACGTAATTAAAGGTCCTTCTTTATTGAACATATCAATTTGACCAGATGCAATTGTGGCAGTTTCTTTTATTGTATGATTTATTACTTCGTATGTATCAATTTTTTTTGTAGGACTTTTATCAGAGTGTATATTGTTCCCTTTATCATTAATATCATCTTTGTCAGTTATGTTGTCAAAAACTATTATATTTTCCCTGAGAGAATTCTTTTCTTTATCATGTGACTCATCTAATAAATCATTATGTAATGTTTGTGTATTTTTCTTTTTGTCAGTTATTGTCACATTTATTGGAATACTAGTGCTTTGTTCAGAGAAACTTCCTAGTTTCTCAGAAGAATTATTATCATTTGATAATGATTCAGTATGTAACATCTTTGGTACAGGAACTTCAAAGGTTGCATTTGCAAAGTTTGTTGACGTTTCATTTGTTTTATTATGTTTACTGTCATTGAATTCCACCTGTAAAAATCATATACAATGTGATAAAAGAAGTACATAATTATTATTAAAATACATTAAACTAAATACCTTTTGTGTTATGTTACAGATGTTGATATTATTCTTTAAAATTTCTCCAAGTAATGGCTCAGATGAATTTATACCTAATTCTTCACATAATTTGTTTCTACCGACATAGTTATATTCTTTTCCAATATATGTCTCTGGATCATATACAGATATAGTATAATCCAAACCAAAATATTCTAGGAACTCCCTAACCAATGAAAATAGTAATTTTCCTTCGGAATTAGCCAGGTACTGTTTTACTGTTTTGTTGAGGAGTGGTTCTGGATTCTAAAAAAAATATAAATTTTTCGATTTTTAACTTTGTAATTTCTTTTTATACTCTTAAATATCTAGGTGCTTAAATGTTCACTATTCTCACAAAATGCTCACAAAATTTTCTATTGGAAAATAAAATATAATTCATATTTAATATAACATTATTCTTACCTACCATTACAGATTCCTGTTCCTCCAGAGCTAAAAACACGCTAGCCCTTAATTCAGCCTACAAAATCACAAACAAATTCTAAAACATAAGACTGACATAAAAAATATTAAATTGTAGACATGGTCTGTATAACCTATATAATCACAAAGAAATTCTAAGCATAAGAATGACATAAAAGATATTAAATTGTAGGCATGGTCTATATAACCTATATAAAACTACGTTTCTTATTATCCTGATCTTACCCGGACTTTTGCGAGAACACCATTATTTTCAAGAGTTTGTACCACTAAATCTCGTAATTCAGTATCCTCCTCCATGGAAATGTTACTGTCTATCATGATTACAAATAAAAATTGTTTCTCTAAACACTCAAGACACGTAAATGTTTACGCTTTCCATCATGTGTCCTCTTTCGCAACACATACGGCTGATAGTATTATAACGGAGGGGAAGAAACAACTCCTATCGTTTCCTTGAACAGTTTGATTAATAAATAAATCCATCAGATGGCGCGTATTTTATCATTTTATTTACCTTCTTTAGACTTCGTCTATAACATTTTTTAATAAAAAAAAATTTGTTTTTTTCAAATGTTAGATATAGTTAATCTTAAATAATTAGGATTTCATCGTATATTTCCTAAATAAAAAAAAATATCATTATCTTATATTTCTTTATCGATAGTTTCTAATTACCAATTCTTTCAATATCATCAATTTAAATGTGGTGCATAAATTTTCAATATTACTTTACTTATAAAGAACATATATTTTAGATGGCATTAAAAACTACGTTGGTAGGTGCTGCCATCTACATATATACATGTCAAAATATTTACTTTCACCCATTCAGGAAACAATAGATGAAATTCTTCAATTTCTTGAATTTACATTTACTGATCATGTTATATAGAATTGTTTTTTCTGAGTAAAAATATTCAGTTAAAATTATCGCATATATTTTATGTCGATCAATTAATGAAAAATGAGTGAAAGTGACGATGAACTATCATTATGTTCTACGACAATATCGGCACTTCAAGAATTTCTCGAAGAAAAAGAAAAGAGAAAAAAGCAGTTGACGGATGTGTTTCAGTCAAATCTATTATTAGATATATCATTTGAAGAAGATTGGGTAATCAATCAAAAAGTTGAAGACAAGTCATTTTATATGTTGAAAATTTCTTATAACTTTTAGGGTTATCATATTTTATTATTATATTTTAGCAATTAAGTCAGTTTTGGTATGATGAAAACACAACAAATACAATTGTTAAAGGTGCTATAAATTCTACACCTATAGATGGAAAAATAGCATTAATTTCTTGTCCAACTTTATATACACAACTAAAAAAAACTTGCAACGAAAAGCAAGGTATATTTTTTTATTATATGTATATTAAATTATATATTAAGAATATAAAAATAAGTAAAGATATTTATCTATTCTTTGCAGTAATTCTTTTAGAATATGACCCTCGTTTCACAGTATTTGGATCAGACTTTATACCATATGATTATAAATTTCCTTTAAATGTACCTAGAGATTTATATAATATTTTTGATTTAGTCATAGCAGATCCTCCTTTTTTATCTGATGAATGTCTAACAAAAATTGCTGTGACGATAAAGTTATTGTCGAAGAAAAAAATGGTACTTTGTACAGGTATTAAATTATATTATAATTATTTTATATTTATATATAGAAGAAAACTATATACAATCTATTTTTATTTTATCTATATAGGTGCAGTTATGATAAATTTAGTTGAAAGATTACTAGATGCCAAAAAATGTAATTTCATACCAAAGCATAAAAATAATTTAGCTAATGAATTTTACTGTTATTCAAACTTTGACTTTGATGAAATGCTGAAATAAAATAAAATGTTTTACGTAAAGTTTTATAATTAATTTGCATGTTAATTTTATTTTCGATGTATTTAATTCGATTAATTATATTCGATATATTCTATTATTATTATAGATTCTATATGACATTTCTAAGCTAAAATTTATTTTTCTTCATAAATAGCAGAATTTAATAAAACTAGAAGTTATATTGATCTATATAAACCCATGGAATATCATTGTCAGTTAACTTGTCATTTAAGATTTATGTTCATATATATATAGAATCATAGATTACGAGACATAGTTTTACATCAAATTTAACTAATTAACTTGTTTTTTTATTTTCGTAATAAAATTAAGAAAATTACTCTATTAATAATGTAAAATATGTATGTACATATATAGAAATTGCACAAAGTTGGATATAAAGGATCGTAGACAAAATCGGTTGTTTCATTAGATGTAATTCCTTTCCATGCTTGATATGGATAGCATATGTGATTTAAAATAATTTTTCATTTTAACATTATTTTCCAATAGATTTGAAATGATCCAACAATATTAATATTCTACTTATTACAATTATTATTAATCAAAAGGGGGAAAAAACAATTTTAAGAAACTGATATTGCCTGAAAAATGTATGTATAACGATCTATCAAACATTTTTATTACAAAAATTTTTAGATAATTATGTGTGTGTGTTAATATGTAATATATATTTATATTACTAGATGTTATTGTATAAAAGTTTGATAAGCGAATGATTTTTAATTCTTTTATTATTTTATTAGATTACATGTATCTTTTGAAGTGAATAGTCATCATAAAATGGAAAAACAGGCTCATATCTATGTTGTTGCTGAAAAATAATCAATATACTTCTGCATCATACTGTTTTCAAAGTTTATGCTATTTAAAATTAAATGTTATATTTATAAGATATAAAAGTGATACATTGTATTTTTAAGTCATTAATATATTTTTTTCATTATTATTATATATATTTAAATATATGTTCTAATGCAAATAACTGGATCTTATGATAAATCTCTAAACGAATGTATTGGTCATTATGAATACATCGATTTAGAATCGCCTTTTAGAGAGAAAAAGAATTAGTTTTTCATATTGACTATTTTAGGGCTATTATTAACATTCTTCAAAATATTTGTAAGGTATATAAATGCATGATTTTTTTGTTATAATAATGTTATTTAACAATATTTATATAAGAATTATAATATATAATTTTAATTCATAGAAATGCTGTTTAAAACAATATTTAAGTTCATAAACTGATCTTAAAACTTTAAAAAAATAGATTTTAGAAAAAACTAAAAAGATCACAACTTTGAGGATCAAAAATTATGAGGAATTCAATAGAACTATAAAAAATTGGATTACTTAAAATAATTAATAAAAAATATAAGAAAAAAAAATGCTGATACTATTGTTCAAGAAAAATTGGCAGAATACGATAATGTACTTGAAAATAATAAAGAATTAGAAGGGATACTTCAAAATAGAATTGTTAATGTATTAAATCCTTTAGAGACAGAATTTTACAACATTCCAATGAAACTTAAAAGAATATAAAAACTTCATTAATTTAATTTCAGATTCAAGGTATTTTGGAAAGTATATTAGCAAATTATATTATTCTCTTATTAATGAATTATTAATACGCTTTACTAAAAGATTTGATATTAATAAGGTTTATCACACCATTAATTTGTATTATTATTAGTAGTTATATATAATTAGAACATATTTTTAGAAATTATTTCTCTTATTGATTAAATGCAGCATATAAATGAGAATTAAAAAAGCGAAACTTAATATGTTTCGTAATAAGAAATTATATAAAAAATAACTGATTAAAATTTTGTAAATTGTATATTTTCAAAAAAAATTCTTAAGTATTCATTGAAACTTATGGGCAAATAATTGTAGTATATTGCAAAATTATTTTTATTATTCATATAAAACTCCTATTATCTATTATATAAAATTTTAGATTATTTAGTCTTTCTTATACTTAATACTTAATATTTATACGTTAATGGCAATGATGATGAAAATATGTTAATAGAGTGATAATGATAATGAGTTCATTTAGCAACAATTTGTTTCCATGTTGCTATGAACAGTAACAGGTGCTAAAATATAATGTGTAGATCCTAAATTTGTTGTAGGTGCTGGTAAACTATTAGATCGTTTCGTATTATTTAATTCGACATTAGAACCAACAATTAACATTGGTTCTGTAAATATCTGTTGTTCTGAATCATCATGAGGTGTCATAGTACTGTAACCATGATCACTATCCCCCCCAGGTCTTTTGTAATTAGTTGAAACCCTATAAGGTGATATAGGTGCAATGGCATCTCTTATAAAAGAATCTAAATTGTGCTTTGTTTGATCAGGTTCTAAAGGTTCTACATCACCTTCTAAATGTGTCATATGTAATACGTCAGGTGAAATTTGCACATGCAAACATTGATGTTCCAAATCCGATTGCATAGAGTGCAATCTGTAACAACACAATGTAACACCCAAAATTAAAATAAAAACAAGTATGCCACCTGCAACTGGTCCTACTGACGAAAATTCGCGAACTACAATTTCTTCTATTGATTGAGAATCTGTAAATATAAAAATGAAATATATATATATACACATACACACACATACATACACACATTATTATATGGATTAATTTAGTCTATATATAAATTTTTATAAATATTATATAATCATTGCTTACCATGAGTTTCATCATTGTAAGGCACTGGAGCTCCAAAAATGCCTTTAAAACATGCAAATACATCAGAACAAAATGGAATTTGCAAAGAAGTTACTCCATCAATGTCCATATAACACCATTGACAGCCTACAATACCCAGGCATTCCCCTTCTGTTTTATATATTTTACAATCAAAAGAAGGACAGGACTTTATATTTAAATGATGTGACCAAGAATGTGATAAATGTATAGTTTGTTCAGATGGAGGTGGACATGCCTCTAAATTAATTTTATGCTGTACACAACTTGAAGAATACAATGAACATTCGCATGGACATTCACATTCAGTTTGTTCCATTCTCCTACAGTTTAAACATAAACGATCTGTCTGGAAAATAAATATACACAAAATAAAAAATACGTATATAAAAATCATTTAGTTAAAAATATTATACACTTACTGTGCTACATGGACAAAAAGCTCTTAAAGAATTGCATGTAACATTAACAACACCAAGAAATATATTGGTATTGGGTATTGCAGCTATTTGATATTTTATACAATGTTCTCCATGCACTGTATTTGTTAAGACTTCTTGTAAGGATGTGTTAAAATGATAATATCTTTGTACAGTACCATCCAAATAACTAGCACATGTCTTCTTTTTTACAAAATATTCTTGATTTAATATATCATTAGCAATTAATTGCTCCTTATGTGTTAAATGTTGTTGTTCAACTTTACTCATTGGTTGTAATAATGATGGATGAGATACTAAGTAACCCATATCATCCATTAAAAAACACTTTATTGTTGAATCCTTACAAAATGGAAACATTTCTATAAGAAGTCTAGAAATATATCCCATTGTAACATCCATAGACATTACCGCCATAACTGCATTATCATTATTTTGTCCATACTTTGAATGTTGAATTGAATGACTCAAAGTTACAACATAGCCTGAACCGCCAGCATCTAAATATGGTCCAGTAAAAACAATCTTTCCTGGATATTTTAAAGCTTTTCCATACCAAATTCTACGCTTTGGATCTAAACCAGAATCTATAATTATTCCTGGAAATACTTCTAAAGCACCACTAGTAGTACCAATAATATATCTAGAATGATAAATTGTATATATAATTAAAAAAAAACATTAATATAAAATATGTGTGTAAATGTACCTTCTAATAACAAATTCATTAATTGAACTTTCTATATGTCTTTCTTTAAAATGTTCTAAAGCTTTGCTTAGTGTAACCACATCTGGCCTCACAGAATGATGTAAACCTGGATTAGCCAACAATCCAGTCAAATCTTTTATGTATGCCATATAACTTTGTACAATTACACCTGAATTTGTCTCTAGTAATTTAAGTTGTTCCATAGGAGACTGGAAACACCATGGTGAAAGATATACTACTCCACTAGCTAAACATTTAATTTAATATAAAATTATAAAATATTATATAGATAATATATAAGATGAATAAATGAACAAATATTGTATTTTTCTTACATAATGCTATGATGTTATTTTGATGGACACATAATACATCTTTGTTGATAGTACCATGTGATATAAGATCAAGGGAATGATATAACAAATTTTTAGGTAATGTTGGTATATTTTTTATAATAGACATTGTTACTTCTTCATTCACTGATACTAAGCATAGTATTAAATCTTTATAAGTTAAATGTTTCCACATATATATTTTCTGTAATAAGAAAATATGATATAATCTATTTTATTTATGAAATATTAATTTAATATAATACCTTTTTACTTTCATTTATTTGAACGTCAATAAGACCTTCATTTTTTTCAATCATTATTGCTGCAACTTCACTGCTTATATTTTCAATATCTTGTAAATATACTTTTATTGGTTGCTCTGTTATCATTTCCATTCGTGGGAAATCTTTATGGATCCAAACTACTTCTTTGCTATCAAACAATATACCATAAGTTTCTGAACCAATGTTAAGATATGTTAAATCATCTAGAAAATCTTTTAATGTCACATCTAGATACAACAGTGTAACATTTGTGATTAATCCAATAGACGTAGACATCATTTTACTATATGGTTCAAAGTATGGATCTGAGAGGTAATATTCCTTTATCTCATTATGAGAACATTTTATACCAGAAAATAATCTTGATATTTCAAATCCAAGCACATTTTGAGTTGGAAGAGTTATAATACTATCATTTTTCAATGTATCTTTAATACTGATATATTTTCCATGATCTATAAGAAATCATTTTTAGCATAAATTTATATAATAATACATGAATATTAAATATATGAAATTATAATATACCTGAAAGAATAAGTATAGTTCTCCAATATGCATTTAATTGCATTGCTGATATTTTATTAAAAATCTCATATGCATTTGATGGATCTTGTAAAGTATTAGTCAAATGCAAAAGAATTACTTCTCCTTGTAGATTTTGTGTTAAAACTTTCAAATCTATATTTATAGTCTGATTTGTACCTACAATGTTTTTAATTTAATTATTGTATCATATTATTAATTTAGTTATCTATTTTAATTCTTCTACCTTTTTTAGTAAGACTATCTATATGACGTCCCAGTTGATATTTATTAATATCAGTTGCCTTTACAAGACCATCTTTACAATATACAAAACCATTTCCGGCAAGACCAATGGCGGTAACATAATCTTTCTCAGATAGCATATCAATTACAGTTTTAGCAGTAATTTGAATCAAGATAAGCTCTTCTTCAGATATAAAGGTACCATGTTCTAATAATAAAATGATATTTTTTGCTGAGCAATGTTGAGATAACAATAATGGTCCAATATTATGTACTAAACTAGGTGGACCACATATTCTTCCTGGTGGATATAATGGTAAGACATGTAAATTTTTCCATCCTTGATCTTTTAATTTTGCAGTTAATTCTGAAATATTCACAAGTACATATTTTATTTATCTATACTCTTTTAAAATTTGATATTACATACCTGTTGTAATTTCAGAACATATATCCAATGCTTCATTCTGAGTACTTTTTATATTGTTTCTTTTATTGGAATAAATAGAATACATTCGTTTTTTTAATAAAATAAGCTCTATAATTCGATTACTTTTTTGTAAAAGATCAACATGAGATAATAATTTGTTGTTTAATTTTTGTACTAACATATTCAATGTATTTTCTAAATTATTGGTGATATTTGAAAATTCCAAATTGTCAAGTACTTCTAAAAAAGTTGGTATACCAAGTTCCTCATTGGCAATAGAAAGGAATACATTAGACAATTGTACAACAATATCATGTAAACATGTTTCATTCAAAGGTTCAACATTCATTTGTTTACGTTCAGATGTATCTAATTGGCAATTGACATTTGTATTTCTATTATCATTTCCATGCACTAATACTATTATAGTGAAGAATAAACATAAAAATGTTGTCAAATCCATTTCTCAAGGCCTCTTTTGCCAATTAAATATAATTATTTTAATAATAAATTCATTAATCCTTTTTCTTTCCAATAATATTTCTTCATATTGGCTACACATAATTACAAAATAAACATATTTGCAAAATATGACTTTGTTGTGCATATTAATAACAGTATGTATATGAAAGACATAATATTACAATACATAAATTAGAAAACCGAAAATTAAACACTTCTACTCTTCCCACCAAACTATTGTAAACTAAGAACGCACGCTTTAGGGTCAAATTCAGTCAATTCAGAAGGAGACCAAAAGAAAAAGAAAAATAGATAAAGATATGTTAGGTAGTATGTCATAAAATTACATTTTCATTATAAAATAGTACACGTATTGGCCTATTTAATAAAAGATAAATTTTTAAATATTCAAGTCAAAATACATAATATCACTTATTATTAATTGGTATACGACGAGTATATCATAGAAGAAAAAATTACCAAAGATGTTTTCCAGGAAGATAAAAATAAAATTCTGTAGAATCACCAATCAGATTCTCTATATAAGAAGAAATTTGAAGAACTGAGATGCAAAGAATAAGTACTTGAAGGAAGCGTTCTATTATAGGGAATTCTCTAAAAGATCATAAAAAATTCAAATGAAACTTTCAACAATATGTCGATAAAACAATATGATTTGCTTTCGTTTTTATCTTTTCTTTACCTTTTTTGAAATTACGAGTTAATTGAATTTATAAATTAATATCATAATCTAATATATTAACTCTGCCGGTCAAAAAATAAATAATTCTTGGTTTTCACTATAGACGGCTATAGCATTTGTTATTATATGATGCATCTGTGACAAGATCTTATTTGCACCACCTATAGTTTGAAACTATAAGTAAAAGCTTCTAAAAATCCAAGATACAGTCAGTCAGTTTATAAGCTAGTCATGTTCAGTTATATCATAAGAAGATTAAGTAATAAATATATATACTCTTGTTTGTTACTGACATCACGATTTGTGTAAAGTTTCCATTATTTTTTTCTCCGTTTTTAAAGAGGATAAAAGAAAGAACAGGCAAGTCTGCCGCAATCGTTTTGATATCTCGATGTTGGCACTACTGAATTGTGGAATGTACAACGTATCCTGTAGAAAACGGTGCGATCTTTTAACTTTGAAAAAAAAGAAGATTCGATGGTTCGTACAGCAACTGAAGATAAATTGCACAGAGAAAACAAGATTTGAAATGCCATCCTTTTTTAGCATTTATAAAGATATTTTCTTTTTATTAAATTAACTATGGCTAGAAATAAGAAGGATTGAACAAAAAAACATTATTTACGAAAAGAAATTGTTTATTAAACACATATACACACACACACACACGTATACAGATGTTTAGCATTTCGACGTTGGTAACACTGGATTTAGTCATGAGACCTTCAAGCAACTACAATCAAGGAAAAAAAGTCTGGACTCTCTCCATTTCTGTTTCGGGACTTGAATCGTAAAGAATATTTTTCTCTTACACATAGGGTAGATATTAAAAAAAGAGTACTTAGTGTATGATCAGAAAAACGCATCAGTGAACTTAGCGTTATTATTTATAAGGTGTTTGTTATTTCATCGTTGCGCGCAATCCATGTAAAATTAGTAGCGATCATCTTGAATGTTGTTTACCGTAGCAACAATCTTTATTTGATTCTCTTTCGTGCTCCTTGTCAATACTGAATACTCTTGAATTCTTTTGAGGAGCTTTTGCAATCAAAAAGTGTGGAGCATGTTATCTGTATCTAACTTCAATAAGAGTTCTTACCTCTCTCAAGAGCATGCAATCCTATCTTAAGTTCCATTGAGTTTAACAATAGTAGTTGATCTCGATAAGTATTGTCTTATCTTATTTGTATCTTACTTGACTGGAGATTATTCTAAAATTTCGGCAACTACTAGCATCGTTTGGTCAATCAAATGGTGTACTATGACATTATAAAATAAATAATCGGTGCTGTTTTTAAGTTTTTTATATTTTTCGTGATTGGAATTTGTTCTAAAAAATAAAATTTTATATAAGATAAAATTTTACATCATCTGAGCGTACTTTGTAGGCTGTAAATTCGTTCTCTAGAAAAGCGAACTAAAGCTTTGGGTAATTATGCTAAAACGTCGCTAGCTTCACGTTAAAGAATTTATTTTATTAAATTTCTATAAAACCAATGACATGGATTTAAAAACCTTAAAGATCCCTATTATGCTGTATCTCTATTGTATTTGATTCAGTCATATTTTCTTTTCTGTTTTCATTTGAATGTTAAGCGCAATTGAACTACCGATATAATGTTCGCTATTTATTTTTTGTAGTCATGTGGATTTTCTTCGCCAATGTCTTTTCTTTACCAGGATCTTTTCTTTTCCTTATCGGGGTCTTTTTTATTATATATTCTATTTTCAAGAGAAAATTATTCTTTACAGTTCAAATCCTGAAACGGAAATAGAAATAAACGAATCTCTTCTTTCTTGGTCATTTTGGAGGATTATATAATCAAATCCAACAACAGAATTGACAGTAGATATATCCGCGCACTGGCAAAATATAAGACATAATACATAAATATATGTTCTTATAACATTTATATATTCATAAATAAAATTGTATTTTCAAGAAGATTGAAATATTTTTAAAAAGTTAACAAAATATTTTATAAAATATATTGACAAAATTAAGGAATGTAAAGATTCTTTAATAATTATAATTCAAACCAAGTAATATCTACATAATATATCAACATGAATGTTATTATGCATACAACAAATTTTGATGAATTATAGCGAGATTAATATATATCGTTTAATGAGGCTTAAGAAGTAGAAAGTGTTTCAATATCACTTATATACATTGTGCACGTATCTATTCTTTTCACCACTAAAAGCCTCAAGAGTTTTCAAGCAACCTTGTACGGAACAGTAATTACACTTTAATTAAAGGCTAACTGCAGTAACAAGGATCTAACGAATTGTCACGTACGATCTCGTTGATCTTTCACGGTCACCAATCATGCGTCCATTTCTCCAATGCTTGCCCTTATACACACCAACATGATACTATAGGCGTTTGTAATTACTGTCGCTTTAATGATGAGCGCATCGTTAGTTTTGTCGACCCAATTTCTAACTGGTTTTAATTATACATAAAAATTTGTATATTATTCGACGATAATATATAATACAAAAATGTTTATTTTGTTTGTTTTCATATCGAATATCGTTTGATATTTGATATGAAAATAAATAGAGAAGATAGAGAAACTATCTCTGGAATATAATCTCATATACATTCATACAACAAAAATCAAGATGTCGAAGTTAAGAGCATGTAGTCTACTAAACTTGAAAGTTTTTTTGAAGTTGCTCTTTCTATTTTATATAGATAAAAAAAGAAAGAAAACAAAGAATGATGAAGATGTTTCGATCAGATGTTCAAACGTGCTTGAGATCTCTTTTTAGATCTCTTCATTTTTCGTATTAAATTTCATCCACACGATGTTTGCACTACGATGCTTGAGAACTCCCTTATCTCGTTCATCGAGGTATATTTATCCGTGTTCTAATATAAAATCTTTCAGTTAAACCTAGATCCAATCAATATCGAATAGTAACATAACACATATTTAATTGTAAATCTGAACATCTCACGGATTATAAGGTCAAATATTTATTAAGAAAAGCCATTATCTAAGATATAATACATTCTTGAATGAATTGATTAAATTAAAAGTTATTGTTTTTAATCCATGATCGTATACTATATAAGAATTTTTTCATCATTGAACGAGTTAATTAATTTATTTGCTTTGAGTGATTCTGTTAGATCCTGAGGAATCAAGAAGCTACTCTTCGATTATTTAGTTATCTCGTTGGATGATCCAATCAATTTATGTTAGATCAAATTTGCATTTGCATTTATCACAGAAAAAAAGGGAAACTACAAGTTTTACGCGTTTTATTTATGGAGGAAATAAGATATTTGTATTTTGTATTGTCCCTGCACGTTTTTTTAGTTGTTTTTCATTGTATTTTGAGAATTTGTTTACCACCGTTACATGGTTATAAGATTGTGGATAGAAAAAGAATGAGAAAGACGACAACGGTGAGTCCAGTTTGCGAGGAATTCACATAAAGTTATGTATCGCCACGAAATCGATTCGGAGACGGCGTAGGAATGGAATTTAAAAGAAGGAAAGCTCTCGGTTGTTGCGATCGAATCGTAGAACGAGTTACAGGGAAAACGGCATGTCCGGATCGATTTTCTAGAATAGAGTAAATTTAACGGTATCGTTTAGTAGAACGCGACCTTATTTTAACGAGATAGTTTGATATGGGAAACACATGATGCAGTCACAATGATGCACCTGTCTATGATAAATGATTCCTAGCAATCGAATGCGTTCGCCCCTGTTTTACCTTGCAATGCTCAATGAAGTCGATTCGATCTATTGTTATAGACAACAGATTTCGATTTGTGATCGTGACTGTAGCATCTCACCATGAAAATTCGATTATATAATAAATGGATGGTAAATAGATATAATATATCTTTACATAACATGTACATATATGTTACATATATGTATATGTATTATGTATAAAATATATTATATTGGATTTTTTGTAAATATGACAAGTTTCAGATTGGAAAAAATAATATTATTGTTTTTTTTTTAATATTTCCTTATATTATATAATGTTCCTTCATATATATACATACTTTTTATGATTAATAACAAACTGTATCTGACAGTTTTCTACACTGAGGACATATAATAAAATAATAGTATATCGATAAGGAAACGATAAAAATAAGTTTGATGCACGTGTCTACGCATATAATTTCGTTACTTTGTTCTCACTCGTGTATTTATTTTTATGTAAGTATTATCATAACAAATTGAAATTTATTGTTAGTCGAACAGAATTCGAATATACGCTTCGAAGTTTGTGGTAGGCCGCCCAATATTTATTTTTGTCATTGGAAAATTATTCGGTACACTTTGTCGGGTGCGTATGAACGATTATAAATATCCTATCGTATTCCATACGACATTATATTAGTTTCGTCAATTTGCTTGGTTTACTTTGGAAATTGAATAGAAGTACGAAAGAAGTTCCTGTATAATGGATATATTCGAATATGTAAAAAATAGAAAGAATGAAAGTAGATTTGAAAGAATATAAGAATGATTATTAAAAAAGATCACATACGATGAGGATGAACTTTATACATTTGAAAATATGAAATGTTTAAAAAAGAATAAGATCGTCATAATAAGTTAAAAATATAACGAAATTCAAAAAATCTGGTTCTCAAGATGTCGATGATGCGCCGATAGAGAAGAAAAGACCTTTTATGTTATGTAAAGATGCAGGCGCCACCATTGCAAGGCAAGGTTTCGGAGGGTGGCAATACTAATGGGTGGTGGTAGTGGTGGAGGGTGCTGCCGGTGGAAAGCGGGAAAGCTCCGAGTATTCGTGACCAGCTACAGTTCATTCCGGCCTTGCTAGTTGTGTGAGCGACATCATAACGTGTAGCTCCAAGAGAAAAAACGTATTTGATGCGTGATATCGAGAGAAGATACATTAGAAGCAAAGCTATCGCGATCGTGTATTCATTATGAGAGTTCGAAAAGCATTCGTTCGTATAAATTACACGTGTATCAATACGATCAATCAAAAAAGAATATCTTCGTCATTAGAGAACGATGATGCTCGTGGTGCTCGAATATTGGTCGCAGAGGTTCCTTCGTTCGGTGCCGGTCGTTGATCTCTCTAAGGTACCTCGAACGAATCTCGTTGTCTCAGACGCGCGCGCGCGAGCATCGACCGATCCTTTCTCCCTCTCTCTCTCTCTCTCTCTCTCTCTCTCTCTCTCTCTTTTTCTCTCTCTTTCCCTCTTTCTCTCTCTCTCTCTCTCCCTCACACCCCCTCTCTCTCTTTTTGTTTTTCTGGTGGATCATTCAATGCGATCGGTGATAATCGTAATCGGAAGTTCTATAGAAACAACAAAATATCATAAAAAAAATATTAGCAGGAAATCATAAGAAAAATTCTTACGATTCATATAACTCTTTTAAACAGTTATTTTTTACTTAGAAAAGAAAAAAATGATCGCAAATCTCGTGATGATCAAAGATAGAAAGAAAATTACCCGTCACTCACCTTTTGTTCTCTTCTTCGCATTTTTCGCGTTCATAGTCTGACGTCAATATCGATAAAACGATGCAATGATTAAATATACGATGTAATCTCACGTTTCTCCCCATCGTTACGGGCTCCTCACGTTCCTCATGCAAACGACAGTGACGGACGAAAGAAGAGGAGAAAGAAAGAGTACGACGCGGCTTAATGGTTCGTTAGTTAGAGAAATAACGTAAAAGGTGGATCTCGGATGTAAAACGTCGAACAGCTGATATTGCTGCGCGCCATTCAAGAGTGCAAATGACAAGGTACAGAAAATGTTACGTTCGTGAAAGTGACACACGGTGATTTAGTTTTTAAGTGATAGTGTTAGAAGTAATGTAATGGATGCATCTGCTACACATTAAGAACCATCGAATCTGTGGATCTTTTAGGTTCGTGTTTATCTCCTCAAATTTATTTTTTTTTCGAAGCAAATGTTTTATTTTTCTTTTTTTTTCTTTCTTTCTTTTGTCAAAACGTTAAATCTATTGAACCGTCCAAATAAAAGATTAAAATCTTATAATTCTGAATGATCATTTTTCTCTTAATCCAAGCTAATAGACGTATGTATAAGACACGAGTAAATACATTAAAATAGATGTAAGATACAAAGATACGCTTTTATCCTTATTTAAAATAACTCCAGAATATTAAATAAAATATAAATAGAAAACATTTCGTGATCTGAATTTAGATAACATTTAATTACGATTACAATAGAATATTTCCTATGATTTCCCAAGAAAGGTGCTATATAAAGTGAATAAATATATATATATATACATATATAAATATATATATATATATATATATATATATATATATACATATGTGTTGTAATAGTCACATACGATAATCGATTTTCGATGCACCGATTGAAAGAGAAGTTCATTGCCGTAATATAATATATTTTGTTTCATTGCCGACGGTACGAAAAGTTTGAAGTATAATTACACTGATATTTTTTTATTTTATTTCCTTAGAAATACATCCCAGATATAGAATAAAATATTATTTTTCACGGCATTTTCGATATTTGGTTTTTTGTCCGTTTATTTAGTAACTAATCCTTCGTTTTGAAATAATGCTCGACATAATTCATATAAATCAACGTAAGGTCTTGGCGATTTTGTTTACGATAATAGAAAAATACGGAAGACTTTGAAGGATAGAGAGAGAGTCTATTTTCGAGAAAAGCAATATATTCGGTTAATCCGAGGTATGGATTGCAACTGGTTCGAGGATGGATAGAATAGAAGAAGAAATTTGTTGGTATGTTTTTGACTAGAAAAAGGATGTAATGTAGGTATATAAGTATATGTATGTAGGTATATACGTATATGTATGTATATGTAGGTAATAAATAGAATTTTCGTATTGAGAACCGTAATGATGACAGTACTAGGTTTCGTGCGCAATGAAAACTGGCTCGTTCTCCTTCGGCATAATAACAACGGAAAAGGTTTGTCAAACGTGACAGTATTGTAGTACGGCCGTAAATTAGAGACGTCACTGAAACAGATGATAGTATGAAAGAGAAGATACTTTTTCGATAAAAACTATATTTTTGTATATGTATATATATATATATATATATATATATATATATATATATATATAGATATATATATGTATATATATATATGTATCATATATATATATATATATATATATAGATATATATATGTATATATATATGTATCATATATATATATATATATATATAGATATATATATGTATATATATATGTATCATATATATATATATATATATATATATATATATATATATAGATATATATATATGTATATATATATGTATCATATATATATATATATATATATATATAGATATATATATATATATATATATATAGATATATATATGTATATATATATATGTATCATATATATATATATATAGATATATATATGTATATATATATGTATCATATATATATATATATATATATAGATATATATATGTATATATATATATGTATCATATATATATATATATAGATATATATATGTATATATATATATGAATCATATATATATATATATATATATATATATATATACATATATATATGAGGATATACGAGTGTCCAATCTATGTCAAACTCGATCGATATGTGGCAATTGATTTAATGCTGTTTCGTCTAATCATATTGCAAGTAGTCACTTCTTAATCAACGCTCGTAATGAACAAAAACTATGTGTCTCATTGAATAAGCTAATACAAGAAATTACGTTGTTCGCATAAAAATGAATCGGGCAAATGAGATCGGACGATGATCGAGGCGGACAAACGCCACATTTCTGGCTGGATTTAAAGCAATGCGTGTCGTTAGAACCGGCACGATTACGGTCGAAAGCACACGATCGATTTTAAACGGTTTATGGATATGACATCGAGTTTTAACCGTGATAAATTCGTGTCTTTTGACCAAGTTAAAAATACATACATACAATGAAGAACATACGCTTTTCTATGGAATTCATATCTACCATCTTCAAATTATTGTGCAACTTTTATGTATATGACATTATGTGGTTTTTCGTTTATAATATTTATAGAATAAATATAGTTATTTAAATTAATTTTATTTTTTATTTTCCAATAACGAGAGTTATATAGGCTTAAGGAAAAACACTTAAGTCGACCCGTTATGCACCGCTATTGACTTCCTCACCCAATTGCCATAATTCATATCGTGTGTGCTTGCACGAAAGTAATTATTTGAAGATTAACTTTAAATGATAAGCCACGTTAGAAACGATGGTAACGAGCTATCGCTTGTACGTTCGCAAAATTTTACGGATGATTGACATTAAAAATATTCTTTGACTTTTTAAAGATAGATAAATGATGGTCACACCTGGATGGACGATTGAAACGATTCATTGCTATTAATGTAAAACACTGCGATTTTGTATCGATTATATATTTATTGCTTTGAATTGCTAAAAATGGTTGTTCGTGAATTTATTATTAACGCACGAATAATAAACGCTTCGTTTTTTATCTATGTCTGTGTGTGAAATGTATTTTTTTAAATACCACACTGCGCAAGGGTTCATAAAAATATTCACGGACGTAGTGAAAGGCATTTATTATGTATTTTATTTCCATTTTTTAAATATTTTCCTTAGATAAAGATGATTAATGCAAAATCTAAAAAGAGCTTTAATGGCAATATATTAATGCCACGTAGCAATAGCCAGTGCAATATTCATTTCATTAGAATGTGGCTAATTCGAAAAAAATCGTAACACTTGTTTAATAAATATATTTTTTTTTTCATTCGTGTTTCAGGTTACCGTGACGGAATGTGAACGGAATAACACGACATAGGCACGGTTTAAATATAAAATTAAATCGAACCGTGACGGTGAAAGTGAGTTAACGATGACGGATAGTAGAAGAGAGATGAAAAATCGAACAATGGATGCGTCATCTCGACGAATTTCTATCGTCGAAATGCATCGACCTTACGTGTTACAATCATCGCGTACAATGACCCTTGTCGATGTTGAGGAGATCAGTGATTCGATGTTTCCCTGTACAAACTGAGTAAAGATCAGAGAATACCTAAAGATACTCAGGCATGAACAATGGTATTGATAGCTTGAAATCTTTTTTCTCTTTTCAATGGATCAATGCGATATTTCGATCGACGAGGAGGAAGTAGTAGAAGAAACGGATCGCTTTCGGATACGAAAAAGTTACTACTCAGTTATAGTCGGGTTATTGAAAACAGCAAAAGAAAAAGAAAAAATACAGAAGCGAAGGTGATTGGCTATTGGAAAGATTAAAGAAGACATAAGAAAAAAAGAAAGAAAGAAAAAAAGGAAATGGAATTGAACGGTACAATGGAAGAGGATTCTGCTAATATCACTGATCTACCGGGTCAACTGCCGAATATTCTGATCGACACCGGACAAAGTAAAGAGAATGAGACTTACGAACGTGCGGAGAATAACGAGATCGAGCACGTGCTTGTGTTGACGGCAAAGGCAACTGTGATGGGCTTCATTATTCTTTGCGCTCTCTTCGGCAATCTGCTTGTAATCGTTTCCGTAATGAGGCACCGTAAGCTACGAGTTATTACCAACTACTTCGTTGTCTCACTGGCGTTGGCCGACATGCTTGTCGCGATTTTCGCGATGACTTTTAACGCCTCAGTCGAATTGTCTGGCAAGTGGCTCTTCGGTTATTTTATGTGTGATGTCTGGAACTCCCTCGACGTCTTCTTCAGTACCGTGTCGATCCTCCATCTCTGCTGCATCAGCGTAGATCGTTATTATGCCATCGTTCAACCACTTGATTATCCTCTAATCATGACAAATCTTCGACTCGGCGCGATGCTCAGCGTCGTTTGGTGCTCGCCGACGGTGATGAGCTTCCTTCCTATTTTCGCCGGGTGGTACACAACCGATAAACATCTCGAGTACCGAAAAAAATATCCCGATGTGTGCGTGTTTCAAGTGAACAAATTGTATGCGGTGATCAGCTCAAGTGTAAGTTTCTGGCTACCTGGGATTATCATGATCGCGATGTATTACAAGATTTATCGTGAGGCCGATCGTCAAGAACGAATGCTATATCGGTGAGTATCAGACAAAGTCAATTATTGTATTTCATTATTTTTATATTTTTGATTCCTATACATCCCTTATCAACGAAATGTATTTTTTATGTCATCTCTGAGCGTCAGCCTCTTGAAAAATTGTATTTCAATATTTTCACGTGGGAGAGTACTAAAGGCATCTTTTCACTTCGTAAGACTTATCAATGTAATATTCACACAAGATGGTCCCATTCACGACGTTCTTCTCGACATTCTCTTCAGTGTTCTCACGCGATTTTCACTTCATAGAACTTCCTCTATATTCATACTGCTTCTAAACCGGAAATATTTACCAATTTTTCCGTGACCTCTTCTGTGAATCGGGAAAGTGCACTGGAAAAATTGCTAATATTTTTATCTGGTTATATGTCTGTATATTTGTTCCTTTTTTCATATTTACTTACGTATATATATTAGCTTGTTCGCTCAGTAACCAATCGGTTCTATCTTTAAAAGCACACTTGAGAATATCAAAGAATTTGCAAATTATTTTCGCGAAATAACCCGCGAATCGTAAGATCCCAGTCTTTCATCTGCCTCCAATTAAAATAAAAGATATGAAAAAGATAAACTGATGCGTGAAGAAGAAACATGCTCTTGCTGTTAAAGCCGTTCTCCTACCGATGAACCATAATTGATCGAATTTTGTGCTCGATACGCTCTCGCATTTTCCGCATATTTTTGCCAAGAATTTTGCATCAAGGATGTGTTTGATGTTTTGATTTGCCTTTCGATTATTGCAGTACATTCAGAGAAAATCAGGCCATGGAAGGATAAAATTTAATTTTATCTTTCTTTGTAAGCCGCTTCTAAAAAGTGGGTTTCTCTTATTTGAATCAAACATTGTAGGATTTATTTTTTATCGGACAAAAATAAAGCAGTTATATATATAGTTTCTTTAATATAAGTTTACTTGATTTTGTGTATATGTATATATATATATATATATATATATATATATATATATATATATATCTTCATATATAGATTTTGTTGACAAACAGTCGGATATTAAACATAATGAGAACAAAGAAAAATACAGATGTATTTTTTGTGTTATAATGTTATATATCGAAAAATCCGTTCATTTATTTTATGCAACTTGACCGAATATGATTTCTAGAAGATCAAAATATATTTTAAAATATTTTTCATAGACCAGCATAAACGTCTTGAATATATTTTTTATTTTAAAGCAAATATTTTTTTTATCAAGTAAACGATCGTTCTTTTGGGTTTATCTATGCTGCTGAAACAAAAACGCATTGAAGAAACATAAATCGATATGATGCATTGTCACGACGCATGACAGGAATGCATATTCCATATGAATGCATTAGTCGAGATCTGCATACTGACATGAGCTGCCTTTTCACAATTACGCTGAGTTCGCATGATCAAACAAAATGTTCAATGTTTCAATGTAAATGAGAGTATACGACAGTTCATGAAGTAAAGTTATTAGCATAATAACGCTGAGAAAACAAGGTACATTCATTTTTTTGAAATATAAAAGAGAAAACATTAGATTATCGACTTTAAAAATTAGTTCAATACTTTTTCCATTACGATTTGTCATTATTATATGGTTTTTAATCTCATTTAATCCTATATGAAAGATTGATACACTCGAAAAAATATTCATAACACGACAAAATTTCATTCAACAACAACTAGATAAATTCGTAAAGGCATAAAATTGATAATCTATTCCGTGATCGAGGGAGATTCTTATATTTTTATAGGAAAAAAAATAATTTACCTTGAGACAGTTTCCATGCCGCTCTCAACGATATTCTATTGTTTTTCAGACGTGATCTATTGTCTCATTAAGAACATCGACTAATACCCGTCTTTGCTTCATTTATCAGTCTTTGCAAGAGGAAGTTAGTTTCTTATTGTAAGAGAATCTCTAAAACACCAAAAAAGGATCTTCTCCTCACCATTATGACATCCCCGACTCGTAACAGCAGATTTGTCCCTTTCTTCGAATCATCATTTGCTGTGCTTGTGTTTTTTTTAAACCATACTCTGTTCTTTTTTCGATGCGACTATGTCACAATTATCATGTATGTTCTTTTTTAGAAGAAGTTTCTTCTTTGGGCGAGCTTTTACGTTGATGGGATATCATAAGAGCTTAGTATTTGTCTATTAAATATTACATATATCGAATGATGATCGAGACAACACATCTTATACGATACGTTATCGAAATTTTAATATTTATTTTTTCTTTTACTCTTGTTTTGTTAATTGCTTTAATTTTCTTCTTACCTTTAACATTGCTTATTTTTTTCCCTCAGATTCAATTTAGTTTTACGTTATTTGATATTTTCTTATCTCTTCCTTCAACGATCACATTTCCATTAAAGTTTTTCAGGTATGTCTTTATATCAAGAAAACTGATGATATTTTTGTATTGCATCAAGACCGATGAAGCTTTTATTTTTGGTAGATCGTTTTCTATTGTAATAGAAAATGTGCTTCCAATCAAACTATCATTTCAAATATTAACATTAATATTAGAGTACGTTCAATCTTCGAGTGTATAGAAACAAAAAAAAAATAGAAAAATATTATTCGAATATGAATCTAAAAAGCATGTACGTTTAACAGTCAACAAAAATACGATTATATTTTATTATATTTATTATTTGTCTTTTTCAAATGTTATTATTTCGAAATATGCTACATCTTCTTCCCTCGAAAGCCTCTCTTGTTCGAATATTTTTCATCTCTTCTCTTACATTTTACTTTTTCTTTCCAATGCACAACGATCGAAAATTTGTATCATAACCTACAGCCTTGGATCCTTCGATCCTTAAAACATTAATAAAAATTAAGAATTTTCACTTTCCGTAATAATCAAATTAGATACAGATTTTTCTGAAGTATTTCATCTCATCGAACAACATGGTACAATAAACAAAATTTTCCTTAACTTATTACCACCAAATATATTTACTTACGTCACATTTTATATTTCGAAATTTATCGATGTTCTAACAATATTCTCCTTCGGTAGTTATCTTTTTCCAAAGATCCAGCTGATTTCAACGACATCAATTTTTCGAGTTCTAAAAGCTGATTATATAAATTTCTTTCATGTAGAGACAGAAAAACGTTAATAACATCGGTGTTTTCTGGAACATCTACTTCTAAAAAGCGATTATTGTTACTTCTTTTTCCGTTTCAATCAATTATAAAAGACGTTACCTTTCAGTGTTTAGATATAGCAAGCAGATATTAATTTGATCGTAGGATATTAAAATTTCTATGAGAGGGACACAAATGCCATGGATTGATCTTCTTTTCAATCATAAAATCTTGTTAGACAAACCGGAAGTGACCTCGTTCTTTTTTCCTTTTGTATTTTATTCTTTCCCTTTTCCTTTTCATATGAACGAAGAAGACCGAGGTCACTGTCGAATCAAACGGATTTCCCGCATCTTTGATCAAAGGAATGAATAATATAAGTTCGACAGAAGAAAGAAAAGAGAAATATAAAACCCGTTTAGATGGACGCATTGCGATTGGATACAAACCGTTCCACTTTTCACGCGAAATACTTATAGAAAGACCAAGTATCATTCATAAGGAGAAGAATGTACGATTTCACCCCCTTCGGCCTTTATTTGACCATGATTTAGACTGTGTCCTCGAAAGTCAAGGTATTCTTGCTAATGAGCTTTCGTTCAAGAGCCAGTGCCAAGTATTTCGTAAGGCGATTTATGCATCAAAAATTTCCATAACGTCAACCGATCGATATGTCGCCTTTAGGAATGTCTTTCATTTTTACATTTTATTCTTTGCAAAGTATTTATTTTCGATTCTTTTTTTTTTTTTAACACGCAAATTTAGATAAAATAATTTATCCAAAAAGCATCTCGCGTTTGCTCCAATATAATTTTAAATAGATCTTAAGAAGTTTGTTTTCTCTAGCAGTCACTAGAAATAGACACAAGCGCGATAGTTTATGATAAAAAAAATATCATTGGTAATGATAACAATGTTGTATTCGTCAATGCAATTCAAAATGAAAATCACAACGATCGTTTTAGTTTTCTTTTTTACATTTGACTACGATATTCACTAGGTCTATTCACTAGATCTAATCACTAGTAGTTCAGTTCGATTAAATGATTAATGTTATGCGTTCCTCTTGTCCATAAGTTGTGAAATGAGGTTTCCTTTGCGTTGAGTCCAAATATCCAAAAGGCCTTTTGGTAAAGTAAAACGGATTCTTTCAATTATATAAGTAACTATACGTTAGAGATTTAAGCTTTCAAAAGAGATTATTGGCCAGAAAGAATTTCACCATTGAAAACATTTGAAAAACACTTTTTCGTATTTATCTTTAATTTTATAATTGATAAATCTTTCAACTTTATGAATTTGTATTTCATCTGATACTATCATACGTGTTTCCGATATTATTTTTAGAATAATGCTCATTATTTGAATTTTCTGTTGCAATACTTACGTAGATATGTACCGCATTATGTGCATATAATATCCGAGTTCGTTCTAATGAAAATACGAACGTTTCGATGTAACGTGCTGTAGATTAAATTCGTTGGTTGAAACTTCGGCCAAATGTAATTCTATTAATGTAACCGCATAATATTTCTTCTTTAATCTCATCTAATTTATGTTTGACTTCCATAAGAAAAACATAATAAAGGGAGTTAATCTTTCTAACAAAATATAGAAGTGAAAATTTAGTGCAGAAAATAGTTTTTTTGTGCCGAATAGTCGATATACTCCGTTCCATAGCTTTCGAAGAGGTCGTAAACAGTAATCTGCGATGCAGCTGCTATGAGATACTCTTAGCCCTGAACGACCCACGCAAATCCACTTACACCATTATCGGTAATCACCAGCATCGTGTAGTATTTCGCCGAAATGTACGATTATGAATGCAAAAACCGTTAAATTTGTCTTTCTATTCGTGATGAAATATCTTGTCAAAGAGATAG